GCCCTCTTCAGCCTGCTTTCAGGAATCGTGGGAATGGGTGGGTGGTGGTTCGGGTGAGAAAGATAAGACGGACGAAATGAAGACAGAAGAGAGTGAAAGATTATCTGTGGAATATTACTGCCTCAGCATTTGCCTAAGTGATCCATGGAAACCACAGAAAAACTTGGACCAAGGCAGACGGACCCGGAATCGAACCGGCGTCCTCCCGAATGCTAAGCAATGGTCTAATCTGGAGAGACTACCGTACCACCAGCGTTAGTAGGTGGTAGGAATGAAACACCTGAAAGTTTTATGGCCTACCATCGCACAACCACTACCACCCACCGAGGAGCGCTTTCTGGTAGAACTCACCACCTTGCACCACTGTGTAGATCGATGGAGCAGCCTATCCACCAGCCACTATGAATAGGCAATCAACATTTTCTTTTATATATTGAGTGAACGACAGTGAATTGATTTTGTAAGCAAGTGTATGTTAATGGCAATTTTGCTTATTTTTCATTAATATAATTACATTTGTACAACATTTTGGCTATTTATCTCCAGCCCTATCCAAGCCAAAAAGTAAGCAGAGTTAATGGTTGAAATGTTATCCACTACAATTAAATCCTTGTTGAAGCCCATGCTTACTTTGCACAGACTAGCTATACCTTCTCCTGATTATAATACACCAAAAATATCGAAGAAAATAACTGATTTAATTGTCTCGGAAATTACTCATCCGAATTCAAAAATTCTTTCACTAACATTTAGAATGGACCTTCAGGGTAGACGTAGGCCGTCTGCTATTTCGTCACAATAAAAAGGTTTTCGAGGAGACCAGTTGTAAAACGTAAGTCGACGAAAAACAGCATTTTTTAGAGGCAAGATATACATGAGTACTTTCTATAGAATGTTTATAAAGCTTAAAAAATCCAAACTGATAAAATATTACTCCTATTATAGTCAGTGGTCGTCTGAGCGGCTAAATCTGACCAAATCTTTGAAATATTTGAAATTGTAGATTCGCTTGGCACTTGGTGAAAAATTTTTATAAAAGCAAAGCAAATGAATTAAAACACTTGGCAAGTTTCACAATGTTAATATATTTCTCTGACGATCGATTCGGTGTTTAAACCATTAAACATTGTGAAACTTGCCAAGTGTTTTAATTCATTTACTTTAAATCTTTGAAAACTAAACTGATTTCGGTGGCACTTTATATAGACATAAGGAACAAGAATCCGGTAGAGATCTGGGCTAGTTTTTTAAATTGTTTTATTAGTCATAATATTGTATTTATTGTAAACAATTAAAAATAACTGCATTCGGTAGTAATAAAACTGAAAATGAAAGTTTCAAATCGCTACTTCTAATAATTTCAAGAAATACGGATGTTTTGGAAACATTTGCGATTCCTACCCCCATGCAGCACCCAGCAGTTACCTACCTGTTTCTGATAATGTGCGGTAACTGAGGAAAAAAATAACTGCTGTCTTCGTCACCAGAATCTGTGATTGTTGATGAACTAATAGAGATGTCCATTACTTTTTATTTTTTATCGTACTTTTAACACACTTGTTTTGTTGAAAAAGAAAGCAACACTTTATTAAACACTTTTCTTTTAAATTAGTTATTATTATTTATTGCACGCCTACATTCCGCGAGACAAAAATAACATTAACTCATCTAGACAGTGTTAAAACGGAAATAAACAAGAAAAACCTTTTAGGCAGACAGATAACGTTATTGTTATTGAACTGGGTATATGTATAAGAAAAAAATCTGCGTTTCACTACGTTATCATCTTCTATTATTATTACAAAATAAAAAATACATATGTATAACCATGAACAATTTATATCGGAGCATTTATTTATTTATCAGTGGATTGTGAAAATATATAAATGTTAAAAATCTAAGTAATGGGCAACGTTTCGAAATCCACGGAACTTCCTATTTGCGTTTTATTTATTTGCAACAACTAAAAATTTGTTTTTAAATATAATATAATATCTTTAATCTGGTGCTTTTCCATCATAATCCATCTGTGCAAACAAAGAGAACGAATAATTCTTATTGGGCAATTAAAAGCTATTTAACAAAACTGTTTGATTAGATATATGATTCATTATATCTTTGCAGTAGCATGTTACAGTCATAGATAAGAGATATACATAAGGAATCTTCCTTTAAACGGTACAAATATCGCCATCTGCCAGGTTTAATCCCTACTAATTTTGGCACGAGAGGTGACACCTGCTAGCTATAGTTGTATAATGTACATATTTTTGCTATTACCGGTACTCATAGCGCCATCTATACATTCAAAATAGATTTAATTTACTGTTAATTGTACGTATGGGGCCATCTATAAAGTAAAAGAAACACTTATCATTGGATGATACGAAGGTGAATCAAACATGAACTGGAGCAGCTCATGTCCATTATTTTATTTATTGCCTCAAACTGAAAATGAACAATTTTCTGGATAGTTCCCTGAATTTTACACATTCTTCGCAACGTTTGACGATTTCGTGAATACCTTCTTCATAAAAGCATTGGGAGCATGTTAACGCTCTGAAATCAATGGCGAGTCTAGTCTCTTTCACCAGCTCAAAGAGAAGATAATCATAAAGGGACAAGCCAGGACTGTGGGGATGACACTCCATGACTTCTTAATGAAGTTGGACAAGTTTGTCCCAAACCAAAATGTCTGTACGGGGTATTATCTCATTGTCATGCAGAAGAATAGCATCTCTGATTGACCCCCTTGACGGCCAGCTCAGCAATCACAGTCCGATAATCGAAAAGAAACTGCTCAAAGAAGTGTTTTTTCCATTTAGAAGGAAGAGCTCAGATTGTTCTTCAATGTTGCTTCTCTCATTACTTACAGTTTCACGGCCGTGAACTCTCAAAACATTTGTGACCCAGTCATAGATTTGGATACATGACAATAAAGTTATTTCCCCAAATTGTACTCGTAGTCATGTGAAAATTTGTGAGTATTTGACGACCTCGTTTACGAAAAACTTCAGGATGGTATGTTTTACGCATTACACGATGGATTCCATCAGAAGGTTCATCTCTAGTACAAGATACGATTGCGAATGGCAAAGCAAGGTACAGTTCATACTTGAATGACCTTTGTAATTATTTATTGATGCATAAAAACAGTAACTGGTAGTGAAAATAAATAAAGGAAAGTTGATAGACCTTTCAGAAAAATTTGAAGGAATTGGATGCATAATCAGTAACTATAGATACACGATTATTCCGAAACATCCCAGGGAGTGGGAAAACAAAACAAAATGCAAAAGAAACAATGAACACCCTATAGTATACAGTGCACAATACTAAAAACTAAAAAGTTGTGGATATGCATGCACCAATGGTGCAGTGCCATTGTCAAAACGTTCAACTGCAATTTCTTGTGTTTTGCGTTTCCCAATAGTTCGAATTATACATACCAATCTTTGTTTTTCTTTGCCCTCTCTCTGTCCAAATGCTGTTGAAGTTTTAAATTAATTTTTTCCATTCTCTTACGATAAAGAAAACAATGCACGTATACTGTTGTAAAAACCCGCCACTACACAATCAAACATCTCTTTTATTTTTAGACATTTTTCAACACACGCACATATTTTTATTTACAAAACCACGAAAATTCAACAACACTCTCGCGTCGGGTCCTCTCTAAAAGGTTATCAGCAACAGGAAAATTACAACGAAAAATAATCTGAATTGATATTAAAAGAAAGGTCGAATATACAGGGAGTTCTTTTCTCTATTATAATCACATTGAAATGGATGATGTGTAAACTTTTAAGTATAAATCGTGGATGTTTTTTTACGAATAATAATAATTCCGATCAAACATCAAGCTGGTATTGACCAGCAGTAGTTTTTAAGTACCATATTTTTAATTCATTACCTACCGTTTTATTTCTAAAGAGCTGAAAGAGTATTTATAAGGTAGACACTCGATAATGAGAACCACACATGATGAAAAACCCCAAAGCCACCTTTTGGCCCCTCCTCACTCACATGGACCCCGGCCTACAACAACTCAGTCTTTTCAACATTTTTTAAATGAAATTTTCATAAACATTTTGTTTTTATTTTATTTTCTTATTTAAAACCATCTCAAACAACAAATGTCGGGACTGGCCGAACTTTTGAACTATCTGTCACAGGAAATACGTCATCTTTACTATAATGATATTTGGTAAAAAATCACTTTTTGAAAACTTTCACTTAATTTTTATTAAATTCTTAACAAGTTTCGACCTACAAGGCCATCTTCAGAAGAAGGATTAATAACTGAGTAACAACAATTTGGTCTTAAATAATAAAGGTATTGTTTTGGCTTAGCGTGGGGGATGTAAAACGGGGGTGTAAATATTTTACACACGTTCTGACAATAGGGGAATCGTAAATATTCTCTATTTCGATTGTTACAATTTCACTATTTGAATTTAGATGTGACCTTATCTCAATTGACTTTAAAATTGTTAGGTTTGTACTTTTGTCTTTTATATGTAATATTTTTACATTTTTCCTATTGTCGGACTTGTGTCCAGTTTGTTCTATATGGTTCATAATATTAGACTTATAATTATAATTTTACAATGTTCATTAATTCGATCCTTAAACGTTCTCCCAGTTTGGCCTATGTATATAGAATTACATGTATTGCAGAGTAATTTATATACCCCATTTTTTAGTCTATATGTTGCACGTTCCCTAATACATTTGGTAGTTCCCTAATCGTTTTAACTGAAGGAGAGATGTTGTTTTATATGTGTTTATTTAGCTACCTTTTGACCCCTTCTCCTCACGTGGTCTACCACAGGCTTATTCTTGGACCCCTGCCTAAAACAACTCGATCTTTTCAACATTTTTGAAATGAAATTTTCATAAGCATTTTGTTTTTATTTTATTTTCTTATTCAAAACTATCTCAAACAATAAATGTTGGGGCTAGCCAAATTTGTGAACTCTCTGTCACAGGAAATACGTCATCTTCAGACCAACTGTTGCACGATCCCCGATATACCTTTGTAGTTCCCCAGTCGTTTTTGCTGGAGGAGGGACGTTGTTTTATATGTGTTCATTTAGCTATCTTTCGACCCCTCCTTCCCACATGGTCATCCACACGATTATTCTTGGACCCCTCCCTAGAACAACCCCATTTTTTTTAACATTTTTGAAATGAAATTTTCATAAACATTTTGCTTTCATTTTAGTTTCTTATTCAAAACCATCTCAAACATTAAATGTTGGGGCTAGCCAAACTTGTGAACTCTCTGTCACAGGAAATACGTCATCTTCAGACCAACTGTTGCACGATCCCCGATATACCTTTGTAGTTCCCCAGTCGTTTTAGCTGGAGGAGAGATGTTGTTTTTTGTGTGTTCATTTAGCGACCATTTGACCTCTCCTCACTCACATGGTCTCGCATAGGCTTATCCTAGGACCCCCCCCCCCATCAAAACACTACGATCTTTTTAACATTTTCGAAATGAAGTTTTTCCAATTCTACTGAGTTATTTAATGACTGTAAAATTACTTCAAAAGAGGAATTAGGTATTAAAATGAAAATAACGTTGTTCTTTTAAAGTATTTATTAACAAAAAAGTGTTTATATTAATTTAAAAAAATAGAGAACACGTAAACAAAATAAAATTATAAATACGTGTAAACGTATTGTACATTCAATAATAGAGTTTTTCACATTTTCAGAGTCACAATAATCTTACAGTACTCAATACCTACAGCCCTCAGTCATAGCTGAACCAGTTGCTCAATACATTGCTGCCAGACTACACAATAAAATTTAGTGGCATAAATTACCAAAGACGTCACCAGCCAAAGGGGTAAAATAAAAACAATTTGTAAAGTTTACTACATAAACACAATATGTAAATTAAAGCATTAACTTCCTGGGTTTCTTGTAACTTTATGACTTTTTCCGCAACAGTAAAGGGTTGACTACAAATTCCAGGGATTCATGTCAGTGAATACAAAAATTAGAGGTGTGGATGAAATATCTATGGGGGTCCACAAGAACGAATCCCATTTCAAATAGTCGTGACCGAAATTAATTAGTTATCCAAAAACAGATTAATTTACATAACATAGATAACAATTTCTTATAAGAAGACTAGATGATAAATGTTTATAAAACACGATGAAGATTTGGAGACAGATTTGGGGGTACTTTATATGCTTTAATCATGAGAAAATTAACTGTTATAGTTGTCAAAAACTTATTTGAATCAACGGATTTATTACAATTCGTATTAGAAAGGCAAAGATCCACCAAAAACAAAAAAGAATTGACATTTAATCTATGAGACAAAAAATTTGGGGTGCCAATTTAAACACTATGACGTTTGATTAACAATTGTTCCCATGCCCCTGCCCTTGGCGACGTCTCTGTAAATTACAATAAATATTAAAAAAAAAAAACAGTTTACCTCTTTTATATACACTCATAATATACAAACGAAATTCATACTGTCATTGTAGTGCAAAATCGACTCTTCCTAAGACGAAAATATACATTTTAAAGAAAATACGGCATACACTGCAAAATTTTGTACTGTCCGGCAACAGCGCTCACTTTTCAACCTAAACTAACCCTATCCTTACATCATACATAATTTTAATACAGTACATTATAAAGAATCACAGTGATAAAACGTTTCGAACTGTCAACGAGAACAAAAGTTAAAGGTACTTATAGTTAATTAATTAATTGTAATTAACACATCACGTAACAGTTTTTACTTTTTTTTTTCGAAAACTGACTAGTATTTCTCTTATAGAATAAGTATGTGAACGTATGAATATAATAATATACGTGTAAATCTAGTGTCACATCTATGGAGCAAGTTGTTGTGCTACAGTTCTTATTCGTTTTCACCTATAAATTGCTTCAATCTCTTTTTTGTTTTAACTGGTAGTCAAATTGTGTTGAACTTGAAGCTTTTTGCAAAGAATCGCATAATAATCAAATTTAGTAATAAATACAATATGTTGAAGTTGAACTGAAATTCATTGCATATTCTACATTTATGGGATCCATTTTCTTTTAATACAAAATGAAGCAGTCGTTTTGAAGTAACAGACAACAAAATTGATTAATAGTTGCCTTAGGTGAAGTAAAAATGGCGCCGCAGTTAAATGATTGGATGTACCAAATTATATCGCAAATGACATAGAAACTACATTTTATATCTCAAAACAGTTTGGAATAAAAATTCATTAAGAGGATTAAATAACCACAAGAATACCAAAAAGAAGGTATTTAAAGAATGAATTTTTACTGTATTTGACATCGAACGTATGACATCACGAAAAAATCTACATGGCCGACGTTGGCCACCATAATACATTTAAAGTTGCTGATTGAAACAAAATGTAACGCATGTACTAATTAGGAGCTGTACAGGTTGTAACTAATGGAACAAAGGAATAAAAAGACATAGAAACCCTAGTGAACAAATTAATAACAAAATAGCGATGAAGGGTTTGAGTACAAAGCAAACTATCTCCATTACTGCATCCATGTGTATGCATGCATACCTAACCAATAAGCAATCGACTTTGCATGACAGATAATTGTCAGCGTTGTCAAACTGAATGTTTGATGTACGATAAAGACCTAACCTTCTCGTTTATTCTTATAACTAATTGTTTAATTAAACAACTGAAATTGACAGTATTGTACCATAATCCCATTGCAACTTGGACATAGAAAACTAGATATAAAAACGAATTGAAACAATAAACGTTAACATTAACGCAATATGGCAGTCCATCGACAACAACGCAACGCAGTACCAACATAACCGTTAGGTACACTTAGACTTATTCGCTAGTTACGATTCAGTTCTACGTCGTTCGTGTGGTTGGTTAAACGTTATTAGTAATCATGACGTCAAAATACTGCATCTTTCGAACCAAAAGTGCCATTAATTAAACTAATATCAAGTTAAAATGCAGTTACTGCACGTGAAATAGGTATGTGACAACATTTATAGGATTTTTCACTTATAGATGGAAAGGAATATCTGTGCCCAACACTTGCTCCTTATGGCTAGTTTTTAAAGCGAACACTTGTATACATACACCCTAACGAGCCTGTCAGACATTTAAAACGACTAATGAGTAGTCTATTACAATATGACACAGAAACGCCCTTAAATCTAAGACATACGTTGAGATAAATACGAGGGACTTCCGGAACATTCGCACGCAACCTTAACAACAAAAGTGACCTGTCGACGTACTTTTGACGGAACGGAGGAATTGAGAGAGGAGGAGAAGGGGGAGGAGAGGGAGAAAAACTCGAATGACCGATTTTCGTTTTTCTTCTGCGTTTTCGGCTTCCACAACTCGCTCGGATTTTCAATAATAATACGACCGTTCCTTCGGGACAACAGAGGACACAGGAAGAACTATTACTATCACTAACATGGAAATGTACGACAGAATGTTGCAAAATCACCATGTCGCCATTTAGAGTGCATAGATAATACGATTGTGCGACAACAATGCAACATGGCAACAAAACGTTCTTCTCCGTCTTTTTAATAAGACTTACGAAAAAAGGAACTATACAAAAAAATAATATGCATACGAAAATCATGGTCTTCACATTGATAAATATCAATAATAATACGTATAAGTAATAAAGGTACTTTCGCTTAAACCTAAATGAACATATTGCAGTGAAATATTTGGTAGGTAATAACTCGAGTTTCTTGGATAAATTCAAGAATGGAATGAGTACTAAACAGAAATATAATAGTAGAAGGCCGTGAGGCCTCCAAAAGAATTTGGATAATGCCATAAGCAAAGATAAAATAAATATCTTTAAACTTTCGACATCGAAAACAATGTGTAACGTTACCGAGAAAGCATCATTGCAATTGCATGTTGTTGGTTACGGAGAGTGGCTTTTTTTGTTCTTTTTTAATGATACGTCGTCTACGTCTTCGCCCTTCTTGACCTCCGTGTACCTTTCGCCTTTGAGGCTCACAATCTTGTTGTCCCTGTATCGAATCAATTTTTTCGGTTCGACTTTGGGAGCAACAGGTCTGTGCTCCTTCACGTCTGACTCCCTGTCAATATACGAATACCTTTCGATGATGCGATTTTTGAGCTCTTGATCGTCGATGGCCTGGGGCTTTGATAGATGCAAAGTTACGGATCCGTTGGATGTAATGGACTGACCACTTTCCTGACGATGGATTAATATCTGGGACGCCCTTTCTATGTCTCCACATGCAATGGCAATGCAATGTTTGATCTGTAGCAATTGAAAACAAATTGGGGACTTGGGGGCTTCCCCGGAGTTACTTAACTTACCTCTAATGAACAGACGTGAGGGAACATCTCTTGAAGATTGTCAATTTCATCAGAAAAATCACAGACTGAACCGTCAGTTGAACCGTCACTATTTTCTGACAGATGGTGCATACGTCGCGGTCTATCATAATTTTCGGAATTTATTTGATATCTAAAACAAAAGTGGCCTTCGTTACATACGTCACCATACAAACCCACTGCAACAGACATACTGAAACAAGTGATAATTCTAGGTAACTTATTAGGTAACCTCAGGCGTTTAAGGAGAACAACTGAAGCTTCTGCCGCCATACTGAATGCCTCTATTAACAAACCGTGCCGCCATATTGGATGTAGTGCTATATTTTCTCTAATTCTAACTACTCAACATAATATCATGAATAAAAAGAAAAGAAAACATGCTAGATTTTTTATAGAAGTGGGCGCATCATGCAAAAAGCATCAAGGTATGACTACATATTACGGCAATACCTAGGCTTTTGAACGGGCACCACTTCTGGAAGCGACAATTCCACTTCGTGAATTTTTTTTTCTTGCGGCTCACCAGCTTGCAATTTTGCAGCTAAATCGAACATCCATTCACAAATAGTTGCATGATTTAATGACTCAAATTCAGGAAAATATGCGCTCATCATTTCACAAAATGCTGAAAATGTTATCAACATAAAACAATAGGTACCGTTACTTTGTTGCTGTATTATAATAATTATTCAGCCATGTTTAAATGGCAATTACTTCGATCATCACTCTGTACACATAAATGTGTGTCAACTAAATGTAGTATAAATAAAGCAGTATAATTTCGCGTGTACTAAAATGAGAAGCAATATTTACCTTCAACATCAAATACTGGATCAGAGCTTACGTCTTCTAAGATGGCCACAACATAAGATAAAACAATTTCATCAATTAGATTCAAGTCAGCGTCAGGTATTTGCTTTTTAACAAATTCAAACAAGGAATCTCGAATTTTTGACTCCTGTTCAGCGATATTTCTATTAGACATTTTTTTACCACACCTTTGAACCTACTAGACCAAAAAGACCGACGTAGGTACTTCACCAATTGTTGTTAAAAACTGAAGTTCGAAGAAAACCACCCACAACTTATTTATTTATTAATGCCGTTTAATTTATAAAACGCGAAGACTAATAATTTTATTTCTAATTATTTGGCTTGATCACCTAACACATGAATCTGTAATTTTCTCTCGAAGACGGATATCACTTTGTAGGAATTTTGTGAACTGAATCGGACAATTTTTAGACGATTTTGAATTTATAAGTCAACGGCAATTTTTGTTAATCTAAGGCCAAAATTTTCTGATCAAATGATCAATAAAACTCCGGCAATCTAGAAGTGTCTGTTTTGGTTTTGATAAACACTGTTTACTGTTATTGTAATGAATGTGGCTGTAAATCTTTCTCAAGTTCAATTGCACGTACCTATAGTGCAGCTACTCGCTCTACGATGGCGCAGTATGCTCTAAACGTACAATATTTGACTCTGATGTAATATAAACGTCATCCACCTGGGTATCGTACCTTTATCTATTCTATGTACATCATAAAAGTAATAGTCCTGACTCACTGACCTGAAACTCAGGATAAACTCTTGGACCTAGATTATAGTCGAAATTTTGCATAGGGGTTTCTTTTTTGATGTAGTCAAGGAATAAGGAAAGATATTTCGAAATTCAACTCCCAAAAGAATGAAAAGAAGTGACAAAGCTTGTATGGGACATTTTTGTTTTGTGGTCAGACTTATTTCAAGCGTGTTCTTAATGCTCGGAATTATTCAAAGACTTATTTCGGCACTTCAAAAAATTCAACCTCTGAAAGGCTGAAAGGGTCAGCGAAGCGGACCAGTTGCGATTAGTTAAATGATAAGGAGAAAGAAAGAACATTCATTGCAAATAAGATTAATTGGGTGAATCCATTTATGGTATTATGTAACTAACTTACAATTTTGTTATTATTGTTTTACATTAAAAACTATTATAATTTCCATGACTCGGTTGAGTGCGGATTATAACCAGAAACGGATATAGCATCCTGTTGTTTGCTGGTTGTGTTTAAACTCCTAAAAAACGGATTCCATTTTGTGACCCCTATCTAGAATTAAACAGTTGGAAGAGATTCAGCTAAGGATGCACATTTTGCTAATCTACATACTAAGGCGCCATTAGTCATTAATATATCATTAAAGACATGACAACATTAGAAATAAATATGCATGGGCAAATAGTTATCATGGGATTTGCAAATGATATCGCAGTGTTAACATTGGAGATAACCTTAAACGGATTAGAAGCGGTATTGACAAAAGAATATGGGACGAAAATAAATAAAAGTAAAACAAGCCGGTATAAAAAGGAGGGGAAAAGAGGGAGTGAACTAATATAAAAACAGGGGACGAAAATTTTCGGTATTTGGGAAGTCAGATAATTTGGGATCAAAGGAGTGGTAGAGATATAAAACAAAGAATGACACAGGGTCGAGTCGTTTTTAATAAAAAGATCCTCTACATGATCTCTGGTTATCAGCAGATAATAAAAATATCTTTGAGAATGTTAAAAATAATGAGTATAAGCTGAGAGAGAGAACAGAGGGCGCTATGGAAGTTGAATTTTGAGGAAATCCAAGGATCGGCTCATGGAGGTGAATGTCCAACAACCGAGCAGCATGGCCCAGAAGTTTAGATCACTGTTTAGAATTCGGGAGGGCACCGGTTCGATTCCGGGCCCGTTTGCCCTGGTCCAAGATTTTCTGTGGTTATCTTGGATCACTTAACATTAGGCAAATGTTGGGGCAGTAATCTTCCACAGATAATCATTTACTCTCTTCTGCTTTCATATCGTCCGATTCTTCTTTCTCATCCAAACCAACCCCAACGCATTCCCACGATTCCTAAAAGGACCACTCTACCTTCTGACCTAATCAGGAGGGACTGCCTGCCCATCAGCATTAATAACTAGTGGAAATGAAGCATCAAAAGTTTCTTTTTTAATTTTTTTCTTGTCCAACCAGTCTTGGAACTGACCACCCTACAATTGTGATGATGATGATAACCCCTTTTTGTTGCTGTCATCCTTCCCCATTCAGATGCCGAAATGAAAAAAACATCAGCTACGAGTTAAGTATTATAGCGCTCAACAGTAGCCTATACATTTTTTTGAATGAATTATGAGTCACTCATTCAGAATTCATTAAAACAATCATCTCGCTTTAGAGTTTTTGTACTGCCGAGTCAGTGATCTTAATAATAATTAACCTAAGCGAAATAGCTGCGATAAAGGCAATTAAAGTGTTATTTAACTTTGTTGTAGCAGCTACATAATATATTTCCTGTTTCTCATTTTCGTTCAGGCCGCGTGTTAGGAACGACGAGTTCTTTAGACGCTTTAGATCAAACGCACGCCTTCTCATTCAGTCAGAATTCTGCCAACAATCAGTAGCAGCGGTTACTGTTGTTGTTGTTTACTTCTAATAATACGTATAAATCATAGATTGTATAAACTATAAAAAATTGTAACGGGCTCCTAATCACTGAACACCTGTGTGTGTTTGCGTAGTTTCCTCATAATATCGTTGGTGTCCTGTAGTTACAGCGTTGCTCGTTGCAGGTTATTAGAGTTAGATATTTTGAGTGTTGTGTGTTGTGAGCTCACCTTTTACTAATCACAAAGGTGTGGTTTTTAAACTAACATGGCGGCTAATACTGTGATATCGTTTGTGTTTGGCGCTTTTATAGGGGTTATATTTTACTCTACAGGTAAGCGTTATCTCTGCTTGTCGCAATATCTCACAGTTTTATCTCCGTAACATGATAATAAATGTTTTCTTAACCTAAACAAGCCACAGCAGGTTGTGTATAGTATTTATTTGTTTACGTATTTTGTTTGCTTTGTTTGTAGTCTAATAAAATATACTGCATAAATTAAACCGATTGCAAAAAGTAAATTATTTGACTAATTACCAACTTCACTATTCAGTGTAATAAAGTTTTTATAATAATATAATGATTCGAAGGTATTGTGTAGAAATAAGTTAGTTAGATTTTTGATTGAATTTTTGTTTTTTAGTCGATGCACAGAGATCTCCGACAATATCTTACATATCTCAGGAACAAATAAAGGACATTGGGAGTACAGTAGAATTGCACTGTTCTGTTCAATATGCCCAAGATTACCCAGTTTTGTGGGTCAAAGTTGATTCACAGGGTTCTTATGTGCCCATTTCAACTGGTAGTTCCTTGATAATATATGATTCTCGATTTGCATTACGTTATGATCAGGTAAACAATTAAGTTAATATTTATCAAGAACTTAGTAAACTGAATAATCTTTGATAATTGACCTTATTTAGTACCTATCATAATTTATTCTTGACCTCTCAATAATTAATTGCTGTTTACTTGATGCTTGTTATTTTAATTTGCTAATATTTGCAACTAAAGCGCATTTATCATTTACATAATAAGTATGATAACATTTTATTTTACTTCATTTATTTCAAGAATGTAAATTGCTATTTAATTTTCCAAGCTAATTATTTGTATATTTATTGAATGGGAGATGTTTATATACTTCTGGCGCCAATAGCTGCACTTAAATTGCATTTTTTGTTTTAATTGTTAAAACTTGTTCAGCTGTTTTTTATCTTTGTCTGTTATTTAATTGTTTTTCTTTTTTTTTTTTGTAGGCTAGTTCAACATACACCTTACAAATAAAAGATATTCAAGAAACTGATGCTGGAACATATCAGTGTCAAATTATTTTAACGATTTCAAATAAAATAACTGCCGGAGTCGAATTACAAGTACGAAGACCTCCTTTTATATCTGACAATTCAACCAGGTCCATTGTTGTTTCTGAAAATGAAGGTGAGTAAGACTGTTCTTTCCATTTCATTTAGTTGATAGTCAAAATTTCTTCTAAAAAAAAATATGTATTAAACAGTTCTTTTGCCATAGGTCTTTTTATCAATTTAATTACATTTTCTTTCTTTTTACAATGATAGAAAGACAAATGAAAACTCATAGAGGTCAATTGGAAAACATCTGCCAAATTACACCTTTGTTTATTTAATTAATACTGATAATGGTTTTTAACAAATGTTTTGTCTATAATGTTTTTCAAAGACATCATTGCATTATAATTTCTTTCAAACACATTATTCCTGTTTTTACTTATCATAGTAAATCATCTGCTTTCAATTAGGTCATTTGTTTGTACCGTTAATTAAATAAAATAAATACACGTCATATATACTTAAAACAAAGAAAGGAAAAGCAAAAGGTTGTGCACCTTAAAACAATTGTAATTCACTTTTTTGGGTTTAGCTGTTGAACTGGAATGCTATGCTGGGGGTTACCCACCACCACGCATATCCTGGAGAAGGGAAAACAACGCAATTTTGCCAACTGGTGGTTCCATATACAGGGGAAACAAATTGAAAATTAAACAAATTCACAAAGAAGACAGGGGCACATATTATTGCGTTGCAGAGAATGGTGTCGGAAGGGGGGCTAGAAGTAAGAAAACCAATAAGTTATTAAAAAAAAATAATAATTCAAATTGAAATGTATAGTTTTAATATTTTATATGTTGCTTTCAGGAAATATTGCCGTGGAGGTTGAATTCAAACCAGTGGTCACTGCACCTAGGCCGAGGTTGGGTCAAGCTCTGCAGTACGACATGGATCTTGAATGTCACGTAGAAGCCTACCCTCCACCTGCCATCACCTGGCACAAAGATGGTATTCAATTGTCAAACAATCAGCACTACAGGTATGCTTATTGGTCTATTATTTCTTGTTTTTACTTCGTTTGTTTTCTGTTTTTTTTTGTTCTTCAATTTTTTTATTTCATTTATTTTTCTTTATTGGTCTTATTCTCTTTTTGTCTGTATTTATTTTCTGTTTCTTATCAGTTTTAGTTTCATGAGTTGTCCTTTTGTCTCCTCGATTATATTTATTTATTTCTTTTTTTATTGTTAGTTAGTTAATTTTTAAACAATTTAATGTAAATTTACGTATAAGGTTTCCTGCCCATTGATCCATCTAAATAATTAAGGCAGTTACAATTCAACTCTTTTGCCAAATTTTGCAAAAAAGGTCTTTGGGACATATTTTTTTAGAATATTATGGGAGGTACTCCGCTCGATTAATTTAGTTTTTCGTGGAAAATTGAATTTAAGTTGGATAGTTGTAGTAAGAAGGGATTTGGTAATATATTTTCTTGGATCACATGGAAGGAAAAAAAAATAGAGAAACGCATCTGGGGCGCCTAAAATACCCCGCTCAGTCGCAGAAAGACTAAAGTGGCATTTCTTATTTTCAGTATATCGCATTTCGCAACGGCTGATGAGTTCACCGACACCACAATTCGCGTCATCACAATCGAAAAACGTCAGTATGGACAATACATGTGTAAAGCAGCCAATAAACTGGGCTCTGACGAAGCCTACGTTAATTTATTTGGTAAGTGTCATTTTTCTTATTTTGTTTTTGTTTGCCAACTCGTAAAAAGTTCCAAAAAGGAAGGGGGGGACAGGTAGGTTATTAAGTAGCCCTTGATTTAAATTTTTTTATGTTTCTTTCTATTGTACAAAATTGTATCGGGCATACAAAACAGAATACACATAAAATTTTATTTAACATTAATAATACATATTTTAGTCAAACAAAATAAATGAAAACCGACTTTTAAAAACAAAAACATCAGAAAAACATCTTTTGCCGCTGTTTCATTTTTTATAAATGTGCAGTACAACACAAACTTGATATTATTTAAGTATAAACGCATTCGTGCTTGATTTATTGTTCACGACATGATTTTGTTAATCTATTTTTTCACATTCAGGTACTTAATTAGTAGTGTTACAACTATAAATTATTTACAATTATTGTAGTCGTATTGATGTAGTTAATAACTGTCTAAGCTTCTACATACATAAGCGTTCTGTAGTGCAACACGTAAAACTTCTTTACATTAATTATCTTTATTCTTCCTTTGTGTAGTTCAATTTTTTCACTTTTTTATTTATCGCGCGAGTAGGCGCATTCGGCCGATTCTAACTCAAAAGTCATTGAACTCTCGCAAAATTATAACCTCTATTTTGACTTAAAATCGAAGTCGAATGTTTAGAAATACGATTAAGTAAATTTGAGTCTTTAGAACTGAAATATACAAGAAATATTGCATTTATTCTTCCACTTTTAAGTACAAAGGGCAAAGCAAAAAATATTAATATCTTTCGTATTATTGCATTCTAATGTAATGTTTACTGAAAACAGTAGATGAATTCACTTTGCTTATCAACTATTAAGTAAAAAAAAAAAAAAATCAAGTCAATTGAAGATCTTTTCTTTTCTAAATTAAAAACAAACCGCTACGAATGAAAACTGTAAAATCAGCCCAAATTAAATTTAATATATTGATTCATAAAGAAATCAAACTACTAGGAATCTAGAAGATACATTTGTAAACTTGCATGTCCCTATTCCTGTCCTTTTTAGTTTGATGTACAGTACCGTCAGGAAAATTGGAATTACTTGCATTAATGATAAAAGTAAATGGAATATAAAAAGAAAATAATGTTAAAAGTTTCGATTTCCTCATAAAATTTGATGTAACTATTATTCTTGAAGGGGGGTCGGGACGAGGTGGAAGGTCGAAAGCTTCCCTCTTGTATAAATATTGTTACATTTGTGTCATATTTCCAATTTTTTGTACGGTGCTGTTCGTTAAGTTGTACGTATGTAAGTAATATGTTGGGCTACAGTAGACGATTTTCGTTTCTTTTTTTTAATGTAGAAACTGTCATTCCTGTATGCCCTCCTGCCTGTGGCCAAGCACGATATTATAGCGGTGTTGCAGCTGTAACGGCCAGCGAATTCATTATTTTGTCTGCTCTCCTGGTTCTTTTCTTCAGGTAAGTCTCATTCGTTTAGGCAAATTGATTCATTTTCATCAAAATCAACCGGTTGGTTGACTAGCTCCCCCAGCTTCAGTTCCACTAAGGATAAACTTATTTTTTGCCTGCATGTCATTTTAATGAAAAATTATTAAATTTTTATCTAAAGTATGCAGTGCTAGAAATGTTTATAGAGATTATTGAAACAAAAAGAACATCTTTAAAAATGAATTAAAATCAGGTTTCTGATCTGCCACTACACAGGTCTTAAAATTTTATTACATCTTATGGATAATTTATTTAAAATAACTGAATCCCGCACGTCGTTTGCAGATGTAAGGGCCGTACGTAGGCCTACGCCCTAAAATAGTTTCATATTTAATATAAATTTTATTTTATTATGGTCAGTGCCGATTAGTTGACTTAGCTTAATGAAGGTAAAATATGCAATCATATTCCATAAAATAACTATAGAATAAGTGCGCTTCGGATAATGATGCCATTTGCGAACGCTGTGCGGTCCTTGATTAATATAAGTCCGTTTTGATTGCCGGAAAAATGTGCAAATTTTAGTTTAAAGTGTATTTAGAAGAAAACTATGAAGACATTACAATTGGTGATTTGTACTTTTTTTATTACATTAATTTTTCNTACATATTATATATATAAACTTTTCTAAAATAACAGGTAGGTAAGTAATTTCTCCACTAAATTTTTGTTTTTTTTTTTAATTGGAATAATAATGAGTATTTCAATTCACCACTTCATTTTTATGTTAAGTCAATGATATTATAGAAAAAGATTACAAGAAGCAAATATTTTTAAGAGGAAAAATGCTTTCGAGAAGTAAAATGACAACTTATCTATTTCTATACATAAATACGTAATTGTGGACATTGAAGTACAGAATGTGTCATTGTGGACTTATTAAATGTTTGATATTCAATAAATTATAGTAATTGAATGTGTCATTTGTACGTCCGCAGAAATTTCAACCCCCAACATTAACTACCCCGGCCTAAGATGGGTTAATGCCGCTTCAACAACGAACAAATTGTCATTCATGGTCTGCTTTATTTTAGTGGTAATGTTTGTGATGATTTAATAACTGTAACGTCCATTTTTTTACGAATATTTTTTAGAAATTTTAATAAGGGTTATATTTAACCAGTAACAATACAATACTCGCTAAGACTGAAATGTCTATAAGCATCTGCAGTTTTAATTAATTTTAACTTATATATCTATGTTTACATAGGCAGCAGAATTCTTATCTAAAATTTTTAAATGGTCCAAATGTTAGTCTTAACATATCACGGTATGCATTTACAAAATTGCTAGTGATAGGATAAATTAATCAATTGACCAAACATTTTGCTGTTAAATAATTGAGAGTAAATTATACTTAATACAGAACCAAATTGTTGAATATTAAAATTTTAAACGATCTTTTGAAAGTACATTCCTCAGCCAGCTCATTTTTTATATATTGCGCGAGTAGGCGAGTTCGGCCGATTCTAGCACAAGTCAAAACGTGAAATTTTGACTTCAAATCGAAGTCAGATGTTTCTTGCTCGCGTATTTTAGAAATACGATTAGGTAAATTTGAATCTCTAGAACTGAAATGTACAAAAATATTGCATTTATACTTATAAATAGATATGTACCTACTGTTAAATTTTTTTTAACTTTTATTAGAATAGTACGCAACGTGTATTCAGTTTATTTATTTTATCGATTAAATACTTTTCGTTATAAATCATTATAAAATGATTAAAATGGCAGCGGATTTAGTTTTTATGTGGATTAAAAAAATGGGATAGCATTTTTCATAACAAAACACTGTATATACTAATTAGTGTACCTCTAAAATGAAGAAAATTAAAAATATAGTTATTAAAATTTGCAGAGATTTGTATGCGAATGGCTAAAGAGTACTTTCCGAGTAAAATAAAATTGTCAATACTAGTAATTTACAATACATATACCGATTTTTGTTGCTCAGAAAAATTTCAATTAAATATCTTTTTGAGAGGAAACTTGCAAAAAAGCGGTTTAGCTTTATATTTGCGTACGTATTCGGTTTAAGTTTCGTTTACTTACAGGCAAATGCTATTTATAATTAGGTGTAAGTTGTAATTTAAGTATATGTTGTAAATAGAAACTTAAATTTTCAGGTGTCAATTCCTGTACAATATTACAAAACACCAAATTCAATGCATATTCTATGTTTTACAGAACGTCTTAAATAATAAGTAGTCTAGTGCTTTAAATATCATTTATGTTGTTGTTTTATATAGGCATAAACAACAAATGTATGTAAAGAAAGCATTGATCGTGAGTGTAACTATTTGTATTTTTTTGCAACTTTTGTACCATTTGTAAATCGAAAATAAATCATTACCTTAAGTGATACAGGGGTTAGAATGCAGTCCTACTACAGATACAGTAAGTGGTTCACATAAATAGTGTACGTACTTAACAACTTTTTAGGTAACATTTAAATATAGCATCACACCATTTACAGTTATTTAAATATCTAACAAACGATTATTTATATCGCTGAATTTTTAATAAATTTTTACTTTGTTCGCGTACTATTTATATCAATTGTTGTTTATCGATTATCTCACGTCAGATGCTGGTCGATTTTACTACTTATTCGGTTGTGGAATATTTCCGATTATTTTCGGAAACTTCTCGAAAGTTCCTTTTATCGCGTCACTCATGTTTACCTGACGAATTGGCCCGCAATTGCGTTTTACATACATTAAAATTGCCGCCGGTATCGATCGCCCGCGGCATTCGTTTATAACAATGACGTAGTAAATAGTGGAGTAATTTTATAGAAACGTAAGGGATAACAGTATATTTCATACATTGATACACAGGGTATCCTATAAATACTAATTGAATATCCTGGAAATTATACGGAATAAAAATTTAAGATCTTCAAATTATAGTAGCAGTATCATCAAATTGTGTTACAGACCACCCGTTATAAAAAATTAACCGAATTATGTATTCTCTTTATCATTTATTGTTTTGGGTTATTGTGCTTCATGTTTGTAAAATGCGAACTCTATTATTTGGGAAATAAGTTCATTTATTTTTGAAGAATATTAATAAGTATTATAACAATGAAAATAGATATAGCCAACAACTACATCGCTTTGTCATTATCTGAAGTCGTGTGTCTGCGGACTCGCTAGATTCTTCTTAGCGATGCAGTGAAACAGTAAAAATTTAAAAGGCAGTATCAGATAGGTGATTTATTTGAGAGAGATGCCCTGAAGGTTGAAAGTGTTTCGATTTACTTTCTATCACTTCTTTTGATGCAGGAAACCATTTCAATAAATATGTCCAATCTTTCTTGTTTAAAGAGAGTGCAACTACTACAGTTTCTGCTTTATAAGACCAAGCGTGAGGTGTTAAGAATAACCCTTGTTGTTCTCCAAAGCTTTCGTTTTTATTCAGTGTATACCTAAAAACAATAATTCTAATAGATTGCGTCTGTTATGTTAAAATGGAAGCGATATTGACAGGAAGATGGAATGAAAATCTAAAAAAAAAAAAAATGGTATGTCAAACAGGTGAAGGCACGCAATAAGAATAGCACTGGGCCGAGTTTCTGCATTTATCCTTATAGAGGGTGTTTCAAAAATAAGTAGCAAGCTTTGGAGCGTGTCAACTAGATGCAATAGAGAATCGCATGATGAGTACAGCAACATGATTAAGAGAAAACAAAAATTTAAAACCAAGTTACAAACCGAAGCCGATCCTGGGCGTGAATTGACATCTTAGATGTGTACCTATGGGCCGAATTGAGAAGCTAACACATGCAAATCAGTTTCTATCAAGGCTTGTATCATATGAGAGCGGACAACGTTGCGTGCTATTTTGCGTGTACAACTTTCGGGGTTGTCTTTTATGAAAATCAAGGATTTCATCTTCTTAGCCGTGGTATGGTTCCAAGCTACCCGCTCCGTTATCACAGACACCCTGACCTACCACCGACTGACTAAGTACATCAAAGTTACAACGTTAAAAGAACAAATTACTATCTGCAGTTGGTTGTAGCAAAATCATCTTGAATCTTTAAATACTCTTTTGTTTACTTTCGGGAGCCTTCTCGAAACATCCGGATAGTTTCTTTTTTCGTTGAACTGCTTTCCCAAAACGCAGGTACAACACACACTCATTTATATTCTAATCTAACAACTAATACAAAATACATGGGCACAAAAATACAAATGAAATTCAACACTGATGGTGTTGAATTGTTGCATTTCCCTCCAGGGCCGGAATCAGATTGGTCTGTACTTTCAACTACTTTTTTCTCGAAAACGGTGGACTTTCGAACCTGTAAACATTTAGTTAATTTTCTTATTTTATAATGCCCTATTACCCCCCCTGGAAGGTTGCTGCTTATTATTTCAGATACACCCTGTATAATTAAAATTGTGTTTCCCCTAGTTTCTGAACTCTGCCTAAAGATAATGTCTTTTGTTGATTAGTTAAGAAATGAAATTACTTTAAATTCTCAAAGTCTCCGTCAGCTTCATAAATCCCTACTTCTCCGTCTTCTATAAAATACATACATCCATCGACGTCACCGGTTTTGACCAAATAATTCCTTGGAGCGTACAACACTCTGTTCAAATGAACGCTCAATTGTTTTACGAAATCTGTATGAGTTTTATTAAAAAGCAAATGACGATGTAAATGCTCTCCATACAATCCATAGAGAAGATCGATTTTCAAAAGTCTAGTACAAAATAATACATCATTGTAGCATCCAAAATTTTGACTTGAATCACTTTTCAACAGTATTAGACGCTTGACTACTGTCTTTAACTACAAATTTTGAATGTTTTGACAATAGTATAATGAAATCGGCATACCTTGGGGCATCTTTTATTATTGATGGTATTTGTTCTCCAGCTTGATAGTGGCCCAAAAAATTGAAGTATGTCTTAATGTTGTCCGTAATGTGGGGAAACATGTCATTTTTCTGCAACACGAAATGCCTCATTGTTAGAAAACTTTAGTTTCAAATGCCAATAAAAAAATAACATTAATTTGATACCTCGAAGAATGCCTTTAGTTTGTTGATCCTGTACTTATAATTGGAGACGCTGTGCGAGCTGATGAATCTCAATGTGATGAACTCGGCCGTCATCCACATGGTCAGCAATTCGAAAAATCCTATTAAAATCATTGAAACCAACAAGTTCATTATTGTTTGTTTCGGAGGAGTTGGCGTTTTTATTTTACAAGTTATGGAAATGACATATTTGTATAAGGCCGTGTATGATTCCATAAGAATGCCCCATGAATTGACGTCCACGTTTTCTCTACCTTCTAAATCCAGACAGGTGTTTTGACATGCAGTTGTGTACCTTTAAATAATATCGTGGTTAGTAAATTTTTTGATTCATTGCAGCACAGGCACTATGCAAAATAAGGTGATTTTCGCTTGATATAATCTAATTGGAACCAGTCTAGAGCAACACTAAACAGTTTAGGAGTTTCGCCTCTTAAGATCCTCATGGAAGATTTACAGGAGCTCGAAAACTACAAAATTTCCCGAAAATTCCATGTTTTTGATCAACGTCTTCTTCTAGTAGTGTAGGAAATTTCTTCTTCGTTGATATATACTATGTCTAATCAGTATTCCGAAATATTTGAAAGGTAACATCTGGAGGCAGTGTATAGGTACTCAATCCTGGTCATCATCGCCGGAACAGGTTGATTTCATTTTTAATATTTCTGTTAAAAAATAAGAAACAACTGCGAAGAAACGTGCCTGCATTTCAGCACGACGAGTCAACAACATGGTAATATTAAATATTAATTTGAAATCATTTTTTTAATTTTTTTATTTACCCACTACAAAATACCTCAAAATAATGAAGGAAAAATTGTTGCTGTTGTCACACCCCCGCCGGGAATCGCACCCAGGACCTTTGGCTTTACGCACCAATGTTCTATCACTAAACCACTCCCGGGTTCGATTCCTGGCGGGGATGTGACAACAGCAACAATTTTTCCTTCATTAATTTTAGGTAGTTTGTAGTGGGTAAATAAAAAAAAAAATCGAAAAAATGATTTCCAATTAATATTTGCATATTAATCCAGTATTAAGTAACTAATAATGTCATAGGATTTCATATGGTAATATTAAGCAGTTTAAAATTAATTCAGGACAATAACTTCAAGAGGCACATATGAAGAAATATAAAAAAAGACAATCAAAAAACTGTTAAAATAACTTACCACAGGCATGCGCCGAGCTGGATACAAAGAAGAAAGTTGTGTGTGAGAGAAATTAATCTTAATCGAGCCATTATTTGCACCTTTCTTTTGCATTCGATGTAGTGCATTATGAAATAGTAGTATCTGAATAATCGATTGATGGCAAAGTATTTTGCATTGTCCTTCATGAAGAATCCAGCGAAGAATTCAAAAGGGAAAACGGTTAAAAGATTAAACCAGAATCTTGAGAATGATAAAAAGTAGGCTTTACGAATCCGGACCAGGTTTCGTATTATTAGCCCGGATTCACTGTCCACGTAATCCAAGTGGCTGTCGACGACAATTTTGATTATAAACACTACGTCGAGTGTGTAAATAAAAATTTTGTCAAAAAAGGTCATCGATCGGCTGTTTTCAATGAATATGAGGAACAGAAGTATTAGGGTCGATATAGGGACTAGATGGACGTATACCAGACTCTCCCACCAGGTGTAGAATGTACTTTCCCTGCTAATAACCCTTCCAATCCTACAAAATGTACAATTATCTTCAAAGAAATACTTAGAGTGAATCGGGATGATTTTATTCCAATGAATGAGCTTTGGTAGGTGTAAATTAGATGTAATAAACAATCACATAGTGAGTTCAGTCAGTATGGTTGGTCAAAAAAAAATTTAAAGCAATCACAAGAATTCACGATTTGAATCCGGTCCTGATCGTGAATTTGCAACGTAGGTGTCTTCGAATAGTGTATTGCAATAAAAACTGAAGCTACATCTACGGTTCTCACTTATTTCTGTTAGGATCTGTATATTGTTAAACCAATTATAGGTTGTGTATAAGCTTTGAATTAATTACTTAGCTAACCTATCTTTTGACTTCCTGCATAGAACGGGATTGGAACACTAGGTATAATTAAAGCCATTGAATAGGCAGACGAAAGAACAGACCGAAAGTGTAAGGGTACTTTTTGAAGTGAAACTTCTTTATAGACGCGGAGTATTACGATTTTCTCTGTCACGAAAAAGCGTTACGGCCGCGTGGAGAGGCTAGACGGTATATCGCGTGGTGAGAGACGGCGGCAGAGAGAGGCCAACGGCTGTATTAGATGGACATAATGCGCAGCCGAGCGGAGAGTCCGCTAGAGTGCCGGCGGCGTGTGCTGTGCTCAGCTGTTGTTTTCTTACAGCTGCTCTCCACGTGGCTGGGCATTATTGCCTCTATTTGCGGTCTGCGTAAAAACCAAATCATAATTTACAGTAAACTTGTGAAAACGAAATGTGTGCTGGGACACATAGTAGAAGTGAAACTTTAACGGACAAGTGGAAAAACAAATCGCAACAAAATTTTTACTTCAAGTTCTACGGGAGGTTTTCCTATTAGATAAGTACATTAACAATCTGCCCGTAAAAGTAAAAATTTTGTTTCGATTCGTTGTTGTTTTATTTTGTATGCCCTCCTACGAACCAGTACCGCTAAAGAATAATTTCTTTTACCTCAGTATATTTCTTTTATTCTTTGACTCGTCATTTTCACTAACAATTTTGTTGTAAAGGCTGGTAGTTTCATGCATAACCTCGACCTGTTCCATAAATTCTCCGTTGACATAATTGATTTGTTTCAAACGTAGCACTGCCTTCGACGTGGCCTTTACTTCCTCATAAAATTTTTTACATGAAATTTCCAAGAGGGACACGTGAACATTTGCAGTAGCTGTTATCGTGTGACGAATCATTCCTTCTTTGGTAAAGCAACCGAACATGCCACCCGGTCCAAGGGTGCAAACAATTGTTTTGGCAACAGTTATCTACGATTGATACGGGAAAAGTTAAATTGAAAGACGTACAACGCTGGTGGTATTAAATACCTACAGTTACATTGAATACTAGCAATAATCTATATATATGTATACATACGCATTATATATTTTGCGAATGTTGCAAAAATTCTAAAGAAGGATGCAGAGATGTGAAGGAAACTATTGTTAAAAATGTCCTATAAATGAGTAACAACTTACACAGTTTATCTTTAAAGACGATTGGAAAATGTTTGGAGGATGCGCCCGTACAGTGGCCAAAGACATGTAATTTTTCTATCATGGTTTCAAAAGTATGTGTAATGTAACCGTTGTGCTCTGGTATCAGGTAATCGGTAAGGCGGAATGCTCTCCAACTTTATTAAGGAATTATGGGAATGAGTAAAGGTGCCTGAGGATAATAAGACGAGTGAAAATAGCAGAAGATTGGAATATTATCTGCTTTCTTTGTCTATACGGTCCAAAGAAACATCGGAAGACTTAGACCAAGGCAGGAAGTGAAATATATATGACAGATTTGGTATTTAGCGACTTACGGCAGATATTTGCTATTTAGAGGAGTTTTGGAGCAGATAGGTTACTTGCAATAAGGGTCAAAATATCCCCCCCTCCCTCCGTATTCAACATAATAGTTGTCAAAGAAATATGGATGTGAAAAATGAATCACAAATTCCTGATCTCTGGGAATTTTTTTGCATCCCAACATCAAAAGACTTAGACCAAAACAGGAAGTGAAATATATCCGGCAGATTTGGTAATTAGTGACTTACGGCAGATGTTTGCTGTTTAGTAAACATCAAAAGACTTAGACCAAGACAGGAAGTGAAACATATCCGGCAGATTTGGTAATTAGTGACTTACGGCAGCTGTTTGCTGTTTAGTGGAGTTTTGGAGCAGATAGGTTGATTGTACTTGCAATAAGGGTCAAAATAACCCCCCCTTTCCCTCCGTATTGAACATAATAATTGTCAAAGAAATATGGATGTGAAAAATGAATCACAAATTCGTGATCTCTGGGAATTTTTTTGTATCCCAACATCAAAAGTTTTAGATCAAGACAGGAAGTGAAATATATCCGGCCGATTTGGTAATTAGTGACTTGGCCGTTTAGTGGAGTTTTGAAGCATATATGTTGATTGTACTTGCGATAATGGGTAAAATCTCCCTCATCCCTCCGTATTCAACATAATGATTGTCCATGAAATATGGAAGAGAAAAATGAATCACAAATTATCTCTATTATATCCCAATGATTTGATCATTCCTGGCTCTGCTGGTGATGCAGATGTAGAACGTTGACAAACGATGATTTATAGAATTTATATGTATGAAACTTACGTTAACCCGTCCTGTTTTAACAATATAAATGTTCGACTGTATCTCATTGCACCGAATGATGTTAGCGCCTCGCTCGATGAACTTTTCTTCCAAAAATGTACCCATATGTTTGATATTCGATATTTCCGAGTCATATAAAAGGCGGGTGTTTCTCAGCACCTTTCCAAATAAGAAATAACAAATGTCTTCTCGTAAGGTCAAGTTTAAAAAGGAATATATTTGCATCTTGTTTATGCCCTTCGTCATTTTCCAAACGTGCTCGTAATGATCCACCGTGGCTTTGACAACTTCTTCGCTCACCCGGGTTTGCTCCATAAACGCAAGAAATTCTTTAACGCGTTGACGATAAACTGTTAGTGCAGCGTCACCTCCAGCCTGCCAAGTAGTTAAGTGCAATAAAGACATGGTCATGAAGTTGAGATAAGAGCAAAAGCTTAGCATTAGTCTGGAATCATCTCGTCACTAACAAAAGAAAGAAAACGCAATAATCCGCTGCTCATGTCGGTCATGGAGCATAAACAACATCTCCTTACTTCTGCGTCACTCAAAAAACTCGCGCCGTTCACGACGCGTCTTTATGAAGTGTTTACTCCTATCTCATGATGATTAAAGGCTTTAAAGCTAATTTTTAACTCGCACTACTATTCATGATTGAACAAAACTTTTGGCAGGTACTGTATGAAAAAGTATGTTTAATGAACAAGAACCGAGAGTATTGGCATCCGTCAAATGGGCCTACACCATCTGGTGGCAAAATTTATAAGTCAAATGAGGGAAAATTTACATAGGAACTGTGCACGCAAATTGTAAAATTGTTTATTAAAATAATAAAACGCGTTAAAAAAGTAAACATTTTTTTGATGATGGAGTCGACGAAGTTTTCTTCTGAAGTTAAATCAAAGAAAAAAGTAAACTAATAGAAGCTTGGATGAAAGCAGTAAGTATCAAAGAAGTGAATTCCGGAATAAAAATTTGTTCACGTCATTTTAATGCACATGATTATATTTCAGCAAGTATTTACCATCAGCCATAACCTTAATATTTAAAACTAGAATCACTAAAATTATAAAGTGAGAAATTATTTATTCCTGTGTAATTGATATAATACAATTCCAATGATACGATATAAGTATTTTGAGGTTAAGAACCTACCTGCTGCAATACAACAAAGTTGCAATAATGTGTTTGCAACGTTCTCTTAAATCGGCTTTGCACGTGCAAGTCATCGATATGATATTGCTTAAATCACCCAGAATCACCTATATAACGCAGTTATATAACGTGAATCACCTTTTAAATCCGAAGTTTGTAAAAAGTAGGCAGTAAACTTGACGGAATTTGAAGGCTAGCTTCCGAATTTTATAGTGTGATTGGCATTAAAAACACGCTCACCATCAACGAAATTTCCTTTCCAAGGCTTTGTGTCAGCCCAATCACATATTGTGTCAATACTTATCATTTTATCGTAATTTAAAAACTTGGAAATTGCACGGTACACTATAGGAACTACGATAAATTTTCCCCAATCGGCGCCATGTTTTTAGGCTCCTCCCATTTGACGGATCGCAATAATGAGCTTTTTTCTCCCTACCTACGATTTTGTCAACCCGCATCCAAGACATTGGAAGGGGCATTTCGCTAGAGAAAGTAAATGAAGTATAATTTTTCTGTTTCTTGTTGCAATTAATATTTCTTTTATTTATCGTTGATTATTTATGGATTATTGCTCTTACCATGTGACTAACTAAATTAGCGTATAATAGCAATACCAGGAAGAAGAACCCTGCAGATAAAACAACAACGATGACCGCTTCTGCTTGTGTGAACGCCTTAAAGTGGTAACTGCCGGAACTTAAAAGCACCTGCAGTGCCATATCTATGGAAAACAAATGCGACGTCCACTTGTTTACTTCTCCTGGATCGAAGTTTCTAGAAGTCGTTATCCATGTGTTACTTGCGCAAATCACTGTTCTAGTATTACCAGTAAGATACACGTCGCACACTAGTAGCTGAAATAGAGCTGCAACTGTTCCTGTGGGATATAGGTTGTTACCATAGACATATATATAATGGACATGCCTTAGACGTATGTCGTTGTAATAATTTCTTGGCTGGAAAAGAGTGAGGGAGAAGATGGCGTATGGTTTCGGACTAGTGCTATCTCTTTCATGACACGCTTACGCACTATCGTGAGAGAGATGGATATTGTCCGAAACTTCGTTCCATCTCTTTCTTTTGTTGTACCACAATTCTGACCGCTAAGGCATGTCCATTAGTAAACGTCGATGTTAACATCGTTCCATCTCTTTCTTTTGTTGTACCACAATTCTGACCGCTAAGGCATGTCCATTAATAAACGTCGATGGTTGTTACTGCATGTATCGGTATGTTCTATGTGTCACGTATTTTCAATGCTCATTCAAATACTTGCCTATCGCCATAATGCTAATCAATAGGAATCTAAGAAAGACAAACAGGAGGGTGCTACGCTTGACGTTATACTGCATATAACTCAAACCTTGCACTATTCGATTGAGCCGAATCAATCTCACAATTATAATTACAAAATTCCACTTCAAGCGTAGATTTCGATTTCGAAAAGAGGTGTTTACATTAATTATTTCTCTTGGCGTGTACGAAATTACATCAAAGAGAAACGAAGTTCGCAAATAGTGCTTTGCGCACGCCACCGGGTGCGTTACGAGAATTCTGTTGTCGTTGTAATAGTGACAATGGAACATTATGTATAAATCAGCTGCGTCTGCAAAAGACAATCCGATTTATAATTTGAACGAAACGAGAATGAGAAAACTTTGGCAGAAAAGTTCTGAACTTACAAATGCAATGAATCAATCCTCTTAATATGTGGACTCGAGTAATATTGGTGAATGAGTAATAGAAGAATGCCATGAATAGATTTATTAAGACTATGGCCGTTCTAAAACATACCCATGTAACGAAAAACCTCCCTCTGGGATCAACACCTTTTGGCATCATCAGAAAACGTATGAATGACCATTTTCCTGGGAAAAGGTTCGTAAAGAAACTTGATGAGCAATTTAAATTTAAAATAGGCACTACAGTTACCCGTAGATGGCACTTATGATTACAGGCTGTTTTTGAAATAAGTAGCAAGCTTTCATTTAGATGGTGTCAACTAGATTCAAAGGGGTATCACGTGGTGAGTACAGAATTTTAATAAAAACAAGTTACGATCCTAAGCCGGTCCTGGGCATGACTGGCAACGTTGATCTATACAAATGTGTCGAGTTTAGATAAGAACTCAGAAGCTTTACTTTGTTTACTTTCTGTAGCGATGTGATTTTCAGTTTGACCGGCGCAAAGTAGAAAAGAACAGCACTAGGCCAGAAAAGGAAGGAGACAACTCTCGCCCAAACTCTTAACCGGTGACGAGCATATAATCCGTACAGTACTGCACGGAAAAATTGACCATTTTATTCACTACAATTGCATTGCTCAAATGTGCTGTTATTGGTACCATTTACTACTGAAAATATCAACGAGATGTTTATTTATATTTGACGACATATTAAAGGCTTTAACGCTTGTTTTCGACTCGCACTACTATTCATGATTGAACAAAACTTTTAGCAGGTAATGTATGTTTAATGAACAATAGTCGAGATTATAATGAGCTTTTTTCTCCCTACCTACGATTTTGCCGGCGCTCATTCAAGACATTGGAAGGGGCACATCGCTACAGAAATTAAATAAAGTATACAACGATGGAGAACATAAACAGTACCGCTTGTCAATCGGCTAAAGTAAACAGCAGTCACACCAATACTGACTACCATTATTCCGTGAAACAACAAACATTTTCTTGTCAAAACCACTGACACAAATCCACGAGCAGCTAAAATCAGTTTTCTGCAAGGATTGTATTTGCTGCAAATGATAAGGATGCAGCAACTGCTGCTCTAACATTTGTCACACCATCAAATGAAAGACGCTAACGTTGCGTGCTATTTCGCGTGCACTACACTCAAGGTTGTCTTATATGAAAATCAAGGGTTTCATCTTCTTAGCGGCGATATGGTTCGGGCGTCGTCGCTCACAACCCGTAAATATAGAATGAAACTTCCGATTACTGTACAATTTGACCGTTCTGTTAACACGGACACACTAATCTATAATCAATTGACTAAATACATCAAGGTTACAACGTTAAAAGAGCAAATAACTAACTGCAGTTGGTTGTGACATAAACATCTTGAATCACTCTTAATCTAATCCAACAAATAATAAACAATCCATGAGCAGAAAAAAGGTAGGGAAAGAGCGAATATAAAGATAGGAGATGAAAAATTAGAAGAAGTGGCTGATTTAAGATATCTAGGAAGTCCGATAAGTCAGGACGGAAGGAGTAGAAGGGATATAAAGCAGAGGATAGCGCAGGCTCGTGCCGCCTTTAATAAAAAGAAGTCACTTCTATGCTCGCGAACGGTTAATTTAGAAATTCAAAAAAGATTGTTAAAGGTGTATGTTTAGAGCGCGGCGTTGTACGGGTGCGAAACTTGGACAGTGAGTGCGACGGAAAAGAAAAGGTTAGAAGCCTTCGAAATGTAGTGTTATAAGCGAATGATGAGGATAACGTGGATAGAAAAGGTTAGAAATGAAGAGGTATTAAAAAGAATAGGAGAACAGAGGACTCTATTGAAGTCAATAAGAAATAGGCGAGATAGGTTGGAGGACACCTTCTCAGGCATGAAGGGGTAGTCAGAGACATATTAGAGGCAGAAACAATACTTAAGGATGTGGAATGTTCTAGTTTCAGGGAAATGCGGAGTTTAGCTCTGGATAGGAAAGAGTGGAGGTACATGTCCAATCAGTCTTGGGACTGATGACCTTGTAATGATGATGAGCAGAAAAATATAACAGAATACTACCCTTATGCTGCTAATTACCATCTGATTGAAAACGGTGTTGCATTGTCGCATTTCTTTTCAGGAACGGAATTAGATTTACCTGTACTTTCGACTACGTTTTGCTCGAATATGGTAAACTTTCTGACCTGTAAATGTAAACATCTGCTATCGCCTCCTGCAAGGTTTCTACTTATTTCAGAAACACCCTGTATAATCAGCTTTTATAAAGCGACGTGACTGCGCAAGACTTCGGTCTCATCCCACTGGAATTGCTCATTTATCAGTATTGAGCAAATAACCTGCAGCTTTGAATCCTTACCGTGTTGCCTAAATGGTGTTATATACTCCTTCCATTCTCGATCTTCTTTCCTCTGCTGCACCACTTCGTATTCAAATGCATCACCCTGTCCAAGGGAGCGATCGTTCAATTGGAATTGCGGCAGGCGTACTCGCTTCCGTTTTAATATATTGTCGTACTCTTCTAGATGCTGTTTCAGGGAAGTCTTAAGATTTTGCAGTTTCTTCGGGAAACGTTCCATCGCGTTCCAAAATTTAATCACATTCAGTATACACAATTCAACGGCCGTTAAAGTAGTTGCATTTACTAGACTGTCGCAACCATGAAGTAATTCGACTGTTTAAAAAAAAAAAGGATTTTGCTAACGTGCCTATCACGTAGTGGTGAGCTAGGCCGTGGATTGAGTTCAGCAAGTAGATATCCATCTATTTAAATGGACCTTGTTGAACATAATGAATTCCACTAAATTGTACTACAGATGGCGCTAGTAGGGTATGATAGCCGTTTCTGGCACATAGGAGTAGGTAACTGACGAAACGTCATAGATCTAAACATGTAGCTGTTTCATCTAATCACGTGATGTTATTCGCCCTAGGCGATGTCAGTGGGTGTAAGCATTAACACATATAATAGCTGTATTTATGCTACAAAGAATACGGATTTAGAAAAGAAATTTTTTGGTGAAGAGATGGAAAGAGGTAGGGATACGTTAGGAGGAGGAAAAAAGGTGGTTGAGTGGAAAGGAGTATAAATGAAAGACAACCAAAGGAGTGTGGCTCATTGCGACATTACGATGTGCTTCGTCCAAAACCTCCACATGTTCAACAATGTTCCAATATTGTACGTCTTCTACACCACCACACACTTCATGGATACAGTTGCCGCTACTTACATCCATTCTCACACTTCTACCTTTTATGTGCAACACTCCTTTGGTTGTCTTTCATTTATACTCCGCTCCACTCAACCACCTTTTTTCCTCCTCCTAACGTATCCCTACTTCTTTTTTTTTTGTTTCTCAATCCGCATTCTTTGTAGCATAAATACAACCAATGTATGTATTAATGCTTACACTCACTGACATCGCCTAGAGCCAATAACATCATGCGACCACATGAAAAAATTTAACAGTTATATGTTTAAGATCCATGACGTTTCATCAGTTACCTACTCCTCTGTGCCAGGAACGGCTATCATACCCTACTGGCGCTTACCGCGCCACTTGTAGGATTTGATACAACGTGCTGTGTTAAGGCAGCAGGTAGAGTTGGTCTGTGTTCTGTTTGCACAGAATACTAACCACTTCGAATTTCTTTGTTCGGGTAGCTGAAGTATTATAAAGTTACATAAAGTGAACTATTTTTAACAAGATCCTAACCCTAAACTGAACCTCCCTCATTCCAAATTTGCGTTATGAAGTTTATGGAAAGCCCCTAAGCGAAAACATACCTGTGATCAAAGATTCTCCCCTTGACAATACTGTGCGACACTTCTTATTTTTCTTCTCTAACAAAATCGACTTTAACTCCACATACCCTCTGCATATTATTCGGAAAGAGATTGAGTGCGAATTCTCCAAGCATATGACCGTATCTGGTGGAAATGTTCTCATTTCCGTTAACGTTAACAATTCCTGGACCACTTCCATGCCAAGATACTTAAAAAGCGGAACCTGCATCAGTGCGCTCAACACCCTCTGTTTGACGATATCATCCCTTAAGTGGTCTGGAATGTAATTCATACGCCTATCTTTTGCGGTAAGCTTGTCGATCTTCCATTGGAATTCAAGGTATTCCAACGTTAGGTTTATTTTGTTCCTCTCCAATTTGTTTGCAGTAAGGTGTTCATTCACCGTTCTCATTGCTTTTTTTCTGCTGTAATCCATTTGTCTGTTAAGAAACATGAGCGCAATGAGGTCCGCATAGGTCAGTAATCTTATGAGCATTCCGCAGAATCCCAAGAAGAAGAAATGCATTAAAATATCTGATATTGTGTATGGATAAAAGTAAGTAATGCCCATGTTTATGTAACCTGCCAGGACGTAAATGTAACTGATAAGGAATGGAGTGTTCCAGTATTCGAACATTAACGTTGAAATTTGTAAATACAAATATTTACTAAAATCATACCATCCGTATTGGGCGCAGTTTCCAAAATAGCATGTGACTACATAAAAAATGCATGCCCACCAATAGATTGAATAGAAAAATATCAAGATGTATCTGTAGAATCTGCAACAGTAAAACAATTATGTAATGTAACTAACTCAAGCGAATTCAGTTATGATTCTGAGGAACCTCTACCATATTACTCTCAAATAAAAAATGATTTGTTTAGAACAGATGCAAAACTTTGATAGTCGAATAAATATAATGCGGACCACATTGAAATTATGGTCCCAGATCCCACTACCCACTTATTTTCTGAGTAACAAAACGGGTCGGATATATAACACGCTTCACCACCCTGATTTACTTTATAATTATTGCTCGTGATTTAAATGATCGCTAACTGATCTATAATAGGTACTCAGCCATATGGTAGATCTTAACTTGCAGTTTTAAAGATACTGGGATAGTTTTTCACAGTAACTACAATATATTAAAATGCTTTCCAAATTACCTGGATGACACATTATAAATATTCTTGTTCGCCCTCATCTCTAACAAATGGAGAAACTGATAACCCCTTAGACATTTAATAAATCTCATCCAACCGTAATTTGAGCTAGGGCTTGCCATACGTGCAATCTGACTGGCTGGAATTGCCGTAATGAAGTCTATGAAGAAAGGCAAACTTTTTATCCTAGAAAAAGAAAAGAGCGAACTCCTAAATTTTTGTTAGTGTTCCTCAAAAGGGAACTCACTGGTTTTATTTTACGCAGGAAATCCTATAACTAAGATCTTCAAAGCCTTGGGGAACTTTTGAAGCAGCTATTGGCTACATTGTGATGTTTGTTGATAACCCCACTTTCAAACAAGGATTCGTAATGAAGCTCTTATCTACCGCTATCTTTAGGTGCGAAATTAACAGTAGACCGAAGTTTAAAGAGTCTCATGCATGGATGTCAGAAACGTTGGATATAAAAATGTGGCCTTTTCACATGCATAGCGCTAAATTGGTGAGAAGTGTCAATGCTTTGCCGATGGTGATTCGCGGAACTTATCTTGTTCACATTCTCCGAAATTTCAACTTTTCAAAGTAACCAATGTTTTTGACATCCATGCATGACCCTCCATACAGTAAAAAAAAACTTAAAACTTTTGGGTATTTCATTCCCACCAGCCAGTAATGCTGGTGGGCGGGCAGTCCCTCCGGACTATACTGGAAGGTAGGGCCCTCTTCAGCCCCCGTTTAGGAATTGTGGGAATGGGTGGATGTTGGTTCGGGTGAGAAAGATGAGACAGACGAAATGAAAACAGAAGAGAATGAAAGATTATCTGAGGAATATTACTGCCCCAGCATTTGCTTAAGTGATTCAAGGAAACGGAATCGGTCTAAACCTCTAGACCATGCCGCTCGGTCTCTCCATACAGTTCTGCAGGCTGAGCAACGGCTTGTTTGACAGCAGAGTAAACAACAAACACGAGAGTTTCCTTGTTGCCAAAAGTTTCCTTGTGGTCCCAGCGCTTTGGAGACCTTAATGATCTGTATCTGAAACTAATCACCTTTATGATCATTATCATGAGAAGTAAATCGAGAATGACACTTCAGTGGTCATTTTTGCTTTACTATCTATCCCAGAATTTTGTATTATATAATCTAATTCCAAGGGCATTCTAAAAATCCTGGTGATTCTTCAACAGTTTTTGATGTTTTGAGAGTTACCATGGGATTATGATAATTGATGATGATAACAAAGATGACAAAGCGATATATTTGGACAGGTTGTTACTATATAAAATCCTTCATGTGACTTACTTATAAAGTAATATTTGACTGTGTCTAGTAATCAATGAATCGTTCAGTTTGATTGCGGTGAATAATTGAAGAAGTATGTCGATTAAATAAAAGATATCGAACATGGTGAACAGAGTGAACAGTGCAAATGAAATGTCACCCAAAAATGCAATGTAATATGGGGTAAGGGTGCACTCAATAAAGAACAAAATCACAATGAAGTAATTGCAGAAAATTCTAAAACTGGACGACGGATCCAACAGAAACGGCCAGCTACCTGCAATGATAAAAACAATATAACTATTGTTATTGTGGAGATTAACTTGAAAATGCTTCGGTCGAAACTGTCGGCAACGCGCTAATGAGACCCAAAAAGATCGAAATCGCGATCCGCGTCTAGCAGTTTCTACAGAACACTGACCACTTCGAATTTGTTTATTCGATTTTGGTAACGTGCCTATCACGTAGGGGATCATCCATAAATTACGTCATACGAATTTCATGATTTTTTGACCCCTCCCCCGTCCTTGTCACAGCTGGTCACATTTGTGAGACTTCCCCCCCTTCCTAGTGTGACGTCACATATTTTGCAATTACATCTAGAAATTATTGAATAGTGTTTTAACACGTAGATTTTGAAATGTGACGTCACGAAATTTAGGACCCCTTGTCACACAATGTCACATTTCGTCGACCCCCCCCTTAACGTGTGACATAATTTATGGATGGGCCCTAGTGGTGAGCTACGCCGTGGATTCAGTTCAGCAAGTAGATATCCGTCTATTTAAATGGACCTTGAGCATAATGAATTCCACTAAACGTAGCATTGTACCACAGATGGCGTTTACCGCGCCATTTGTGGTATTTTATATTCTTGAATAGGTATTTATAATAAACGAATGTACAAGAAAATTCGGTGTAATACCTTTCAAACATATAACTTGAGTTCTAATTTCGATTCCTTCTTTAATTGAATAAAGACTTAAGTAGTCTGAGCAATGCATAGGGTTGACCTTCGGCATTCGTTTTTTAGACTTGCGCATGCTATGTATTTTCCGCCATTGCATTTTTAACCACCTGATGCCGGATTTTTCAACTCGCGATTCATTTACGAATTTGTCCTTTTGCATTTTCATGAACTTGGCGAACTCTAAGCGGAGCTCAATTTCCTTTCGTAATATTTTCGCGTCCTGAGGGAACAGTGACATCACTTTACAGACTTTGTGCAGTTGGAGGGTGTTCAACTCGGTGTAGGCCGCACATCTGACATACAATTTACTTCGTAATGGGAAGAACAAATTGATCTCAGACAATACGGTTCCTCCGGAAAATGAAATTATTACCGAGTCGTCATCTTCTGCACTCAAAATCTAAAAATGGACAATTTTAATGAAACTTTGTCATTTGATACAAACTTTAAGTCATCATCTCCAATTAAAATTGTCACGTTACTCTTCATGGAGATTAAAATAGTGATGGTGTGAATTTATAAATAAGTACAGAGAATGTAGTCAACGTCATCTGTATTAAGATAGCTTTACCAGCGATTATGGTCTCACTATAAACGAAGTTGCAAGAATGAAATAGAAATATATTATTACCTGGACCAATCCAGTTTTGATATAAATCATTTTATACTTCATGACATCTTGCATAAAAAGATAGTCCCCAGTCATCAAGATTACGTTCTCCATTTGCATGCTAACGGCCCTTTTAAAAGCCAAACTTGTATTCTTGAAGAGTAAAGAATGTTGAAGTGCATCCCAGTTCATGTCAAGGGCCGAGTCTCTTTGGAGGGTTGCCGGCAGTAAATAGAAATTTCGTGGATATCGAAGGATTCCGAATTTAGTCTCCCACAAAGTGTAGTAATATTCGAAGAGGCGTTTCTTAGACGATTTGTTGATGTTCCATCGTGACGTCGAAAGATGTACTATGGAAAGATCCGAGAAGAACTTGTACTGACGTCGAAAAGCTCTAGAGAACACCACCACAACCATACCAACGAAGAAAAGGTATTTAGCCAAATAACCCAATAGCATTGTGAATATCACAAGCAGTTCTTCTTTAACAATAACGGCTTTGGCTTCGGCTATCATCAAGTTAAACAAACAATTATCTCGTTACCTCTATTTGTATAAGAATATAAATCAGGGGAGCTACTACTTAAATGAAATAATGGCTATAAGGTAAACGGGAGCACGAAAAAAAATTCCCATAGTCTCAATAATTCCCTTTGGAGACGAAAATGTATTGTTGTGTCTTTTTGCTAGAACGAATTGAATTCAAAACTATATTGACTAATGTAGAAGAGTGGGAAATGATGCCAGTGGTCATGTGGCTCCACTCTAGTCACTTTGTGCCCCTTTCCTCCCTTTTACTTGGTCTGCTATGACTATCATCTATTTTTTATTCAAACCATTTCGAACAGTAAATCTCGGGGCTAGCCGTTCTTGTAAATTGTTTATTACAGAAAATGCGTCATCTCCAGTCTGACTATTGTATATATGTACATAGATACCTAATGGAGATTCATCAATTTCTATATCCCCTTAGATACAGAACAATAAAAAAGGCCAGCATATTGTTGGGACCCCTCCCTCCCTTTCAGAGCCGTATGGTTAATGAACAACCTCTAGAGGCTTCCGCTGCCAGTAGGTGAACTGATGTTGTCCTGATTCCAGTCTAAAGGCCGTCTTCGGTTGGAATTGGTTCCTAACGTTTCTTTAGCACGAAAAACAAGCTTCTTCAGAGATCCTTCCGTTTGCCTCGATGCTGGATGTAGACTGTGGAAGGACCTCTGAAGGAGCTCATTACTGGTGGAAGCGAAACGTTGGGAAACAACTCCAACTGACGACGGTCTTAAGACCCGAACCAGGACAGCATCGATTCAAAGTGAATGATTGAGATTAGGGAGGTTTTGCTAAATTGCTAAATTCAGTGAAGCAACATATTTGCTATCTTAATACGAGTACGAATACGGGTACGATAGTTACATATACGCTTACATTCGAATTGATTTAAGAATAGGTGCCCCATCGAGGTACAACATATTAACATCCAGTGCAGTGCTTGATTCGGATCGAATTGGTAGTTTATTAAATTTTTAGTCCAGTTAGCTCTTTCACATTGCCAACAGGCCATTATATTCCATAGACCGGCCAAGATCTGTATTGCTAGGAACGAATGGGCCGAAAATTTTACAATCGCTAAAAATTGACTAGCCACTGTTACTTGTTCCAAATCGTTTAAGAAATTGTACACTTCGTGATATCTGTAAAAGATTCTCTTTTAGAAAAAGTTATTCCAACGGTCTGCTAGTTTTGAACACTTCTTACGAGGCAGTGTCCCAAGTTCGCTTCAAACAACGATATAAGTACTTCATTATTTTTCGTGATTAAATTAATAATTTTAGATTATTATTAAGCAAAATCATAACGCAGAGTCTAATGGCTTTTAGCAGAAAGAAACTAATTCTATACTAACGAACGATTGATTTAGCAATTTGAAAACAGTTGTATATTTGTAGAAAATATAGAATGGTTTGAGTTGTGGTGTTACTGAGGGATTATAAAAATACCGTGAATAAAAAAGACTAGAAATGAGCAAGCATTTGATGAGAACAAAGGATACTATGGGGGCCAATAAGGAAAAAGGGGGATAGGTTGGAAGAACACCTTCTGAGACACGAAGGTAGAAGCAGAAACGGAGTAAAGAGAAGAGGAGATTAGAGTACTGAAATGTGGGATGTTGTAATTTTCGGGAAACAAGCAGGCATTTGATGAGAACAGGGGGTACTATGGAGGCCAATAAGAAAGAAGGGGGATAGGTTGGAAGAATACCTTCTGAGACATGAAGGTAGAAGCAGAAACGGAGTAAAGAGAAGAGGAGATAAGAATTCTGAAATGTAGGATATTGTAATTTATGGGAAATAATGAGGCATTTGATGAGAACAGAGGGTACTATGGGGGTCAATAAGGAAAAACGGGATGGGATGGAAGAACACCTTCTGAGACATGAAGGTAGAAGCAGAAACGGAGTAAAGAGGAGATTGGAGTACTGAAATTTGGGATATTGTAATTTTTGGGAAATGAGCAGGCATTTGATGAGAATAGAGGGTACTATGGAGGGCAATAAGGAAAAGGGGAGATGGATTGGAAGAACACCTTCTGAGACATGAAGGTAGAAGCAGAAACGGAGTAAAGAGGCGATTGGAGTACTGAAATTTGGGATATTGTAATTTTTGGGAAATGAGCAGGCATTTGATGAGAACAGAGGGTACTATGGAGGACAATAAGGAAAAGGGGAGATGGATTGGAAGAACACCTTCTGAGACATGAAGGTAGAAGCAGAAACGGAGTAAAGAGAAGAGGAGAGTAGAGTACTGAAATGTGGGATGTTGTAATTTTGGGAAACAAGCGGGTATTTGATGAGAACAGAGGGTACTATGGAGACTAATAAGGAAAAAGGGGGATGGGTTGTAAGAACACCTTGTGAGACATGAAGGTAGAAGCAGCAACGGAGCAAAGAGAAGAGGAAACTGGAGTACTGAAATTTGGGATATTGTAATTTTTGGGAAATGTGGAGATTGTGTCAGGACAGGAAAGAATGAAGGTGCGCCTGCAGACCGATGACCTTGTGATGTTAAGATTGTTATTCCCTATCTTTTTATCTTTCTCATAATCCAGCAGTAAAAGAATAAGAAGTATTCACTTAGTCGTGTGTAACCATACACCCAGAGCTCTAATTTTTTAATACCTCACTAGCAAAATTAGTCTCGCATAATCTCTAACGATGTACTGCGTATGACGTTCGCTGTTGGTAAGTGACCATCCGATATCAGCGAACAACTTATACATTCCATAAACAGGTATAATGGTGATGTAGTCAATTATGAGCAAAACAATATTCCTCGGCATGTACTCTCTCTTTAAGCGCTCCTTCTTCATGTACCTAATAACATACATGAATGTACAATATAGTACACAAACTAATTCTGAACGGACTAAAAATATATTATCATAAGGGAATGCACCATTTTAGTTTGAATTTTCACTCGCTCTCGTGGGTCACGTGGGTAACGTGTTCATGCACCTAATGCAGTTAGTCAAATTAACATTTCTAAATAACAAAAATGAATAATAAAACGGAAAAGACTTCATATACTACAGGTAAATAACTCTCAAATGGACAATAAGCTGCCATTAGTGGAGATTTGCTACTATTGACGGTTCATTAATGAGATTCTTAAGCTTTCAAATTGACAAATTGATTTAATTGATTTAATTGATTGATTTAAATAAATAAAAGTGTATGCAAAATTTTCGTTGATTTCATTGGATCATTTATGCAAATGTTGGGCAGTAATATCTCACAGATGATTCTTTATATTTTGTCTCATGTTTCATTCATCTCCTCAACCACCACTACCACCAATCATTCTTGGGGTCCCTAAAAGGGGACCTTCCTCCCTACCCTCCCCCCGCCTCTTTGTAGTACACTGTAGATCTGAGAGATTGCTTTTCACCTGTCAGTGGAAATAAAGCATATCTAAGATTTACCCTCTTCCACGAAAGCATAAAAAAAAGGTTCAATACCTGTGCATTGTGAGAAGGACTATGTGTAGACCGAAGAGCGTATCAGTTACCAAAAAGGCTGTTTCATGATCAGAATCCGGCTGTCCAAAAGCGTACATAATCGACACCAGTACCATATTAACCTGATAATAAACAAACAGGGTCAACACAAATCTCCAATATTTTTTAAATGGAACAAATATCAATGTCCTCCATGAAATCGTTTCTTCATTTAGGGCGATGGAAGTTTTTTTAAAAGGTTTAGCCGTTTCTGGGTCCAGTATAGTTGACATTTTTATTTATATGTATATGTGTTTGCAGTTTGTTATATAATACTGAAAAGTTTTTAATTCGCTAGGCGACCTAATTAGCAGGTCTCTTTGATTATTTATGACCAAGGAACGTGATTAATACATAAACTCAACCCAGTTACATCTATAAAAACGAAGGAAAAAACCTAGGGCAACCATAATCTGAATCAATCCACCAAAAATACTGAATGTATAATTTTATTAAAAAATCAAAGATAAATTATAAAACGAAATGTGTACTGGGAAACATAGTAGAAGTGATACTTCAACGGACAAGTAGAAAAACAAATCGCAACAAAATTACGGGCAGATTGTTAATGTACTTGTCCAATTTGAAAACCTCCCCGTAAAACTTCAAGTCAAAATTTTGTCCGGTTTTCAAATTAACGTTAACAATCTGCCCGTTAAACTTGAAGTAAAAATTTTGTTGCGATTCGTTTTTCCACTTGTTCGTTGAAATTTCACTTGTACTATGTGTCCCAGCACACATTTCGTTTTCACAGCTTGACTGTAAATTATGATTTGGTATTTACACAGACCGCAAATAGAGACAATGATGCCTAGCCACGTAGAGAGCAGAGGTAAGAAAACAACAGCTGAGTACAGCACACGCCACCGGGACTCTAGAGGACGCTCCGCTCTCCGCGCGGCTGCGCATTATATCCATCTAATACAGCCGTTACCCTATCTCTGCCATCGTCAGCCTTTCTCTCCTTCCGCCGCTGCCGCATCTCACCTCGTGATATACCCTCTCCACGCAGCCGTAACGCTTTTACGTGACACAAAAAAATTGTAATACCCTCCGTCTATATAGAAGTTTCACTTCAAAAAAAAAAAGTTGAGTTCCTTTTATAGTTTCGAATCTGTTTCTGAGCAGTTCTTATTTCAAATACCTATATCAAATTATCATTATCTCCTTAGTGGTTATCTCCAATTGTTTAAATACTTTTAATTTCTTAACTAACGGTTTCACTTTTAGAACAACAAGAGCTCCAATTCATCTTTCGTTTTAGTGATCAGCTAGTTTCGATCTTCAATCTTTGTATAGGTAATTATTGCTGGTTCATGAGTATTCATATGCGCGAAAGGGGGACTTTATTGCATTGAAGTTCCAGGTATACTGTGAACAATGATGACCAATTTTTTTAAGAGGTAGAAATGTATAAACCATTTAACGGACAAAATTTTGTCACTTAAGGCCAAGGTTCATGAGTTCCTGAACTACCTCTACTACATAATATTGTTTATTTTATAATTATTCGTCAGAACACAAGCAACAACAGCGTATATTAACATAATTATTTTATTTATTTAGTAGCTACATGTCAACGTAATAATAAAATTTGTTTTGAAGTCTTAGAAGATACAGAACACTAAAAAGTAGGCAGCTAATGCTTTTAAATTCGAAAAACAGCTTTAGAAATCGTTCCATCTTTTAGAGTTGCTAAAGCTTCTTTGTAGTTGGACAGGCTGTAGGTTTTTATTCCTAACTTTTCAAAATCAAAGTACCTGTAAAGAAGAGGGCTTAAAGATCAAATTAAATTGATTTGGTGTCATACCTTTGTCCCATACTTTTCATTAAGCCGACAGCTTTTGTAAAAGACAATGGATTTAAAAATACTCCAAACAGTTGAATCTCTTTGGCAGTAATGTCAAAGGCAGGTATGCTGGAAAATTGTTATTAATGATAAATAGATCGTGTAGAAATTGTAAGATCTTAATATTTGTGAAGTGAAGCATTTTATGCAGTACAAGGAAGTCCTTGAAACTGAGAAAAATGATTCTCCTATTTTCTCTCTCCAGACCCGGTCTTACCTTATCTTAGCTTCTGGATTGGCGCAACCGAACAAACAAACTTTTCCTCCAAAATCCAGCAAATATATCGCTTCTTCGACAGCTGGTGCATATCCAGTTGTATCAATTATTACATCAAAAAGATTATTTTTCAATTTAAGCTTCGCGGGAGTGACGCATTCAAATCCTGTATCTTTAATTATGTATATTATTACAACAAAATACTGTTTTATTGAAAAGTATATTTGTATTATGAATTTTGAGTAAGAAAATTCAATCTAATTTACAAAGGTTTTGTGTTGAAGGTTCTTAAAGGTAAATCGGAGATTACTATTAACGTGTAAATTATTATTATATTGTAGCGAGCACGAGTGTTTTTGTGTGCGATCGGGGACACGTGTGCCTGAACGACTTATTGATTCGTGACTAGCCGTGGGCACCTTTCTTCATGTGCGCCGTATTTGTAAATGTGTGTGTCTTACCTGCGTTCTGTAGTTAAATAGTTCAAAGAAAAAAGAAACTATCCGGAAGTTTCCAGAAAGTAAACAAAAGAGTATTTAAAGGACCGTTGCAGAAATGAATCCAGAAATAAACTGACAGTGATAGCAGTGAAATAAATAGCACAGTGAATAGTGATATATCAACAATAGTGTAAATAAATAGTTTTTGTCGTTATCAGTCTTAGAAGTTAATGTTGTTAAACCCACGAACATTACAATATTTATTATGAAGAATATCTAATTCTTGGTCAGCAATTTATTGAAACTACCGAATTTGGTTCGCCACTTTCAACTTTTATTTGTTCTCATCAGCACCCCTTAGGAGGTAGGTTCAATAAATCCGTACAAATAAACAGATTGATATTAAGTACCATGATATCAAGTAATGACTGCTTGTTTTTTACGTCATCATATGTTATCCTAAATGATAATTAAACTAAATGCGTAGCTACTCCATCATTACTTACCCAAATTATTCAGTAAATTTCTTCGTGACCCCACTGGTTCAGAAACAATGACATCCCTGTGCCCTTGAGAGTGTAATACACAAGCAAATAAATTTCCTATGATTCCTGCCCCAAGCACCAAAACCTTTTGGCCCGGTCTAATGGGCATTATCTTAGACCATGCGTGAGCAATGCATGATAACGGCTCAAGAAGAACAGCTTAAAAACATTATATATTTGAACAACATTATACATATTACAAGTCAATTTGCAAAAACAATTGTAAAAATGGACTAGTACTGCCAAACCAATACTAAATTATTAATTAAAAGTTAGTAATGTCTTAGACCTTTGGGGCATACCTATGCCTTCTATTTTCTAAAATCTCTATGAAATATATTTGAAAGAATGATGGTTGGGATCTTTGTCAACGTTTAGCCAAGTTTAATTTTATCATATGGTGAAATAATGAGTGTCGTGTTATTATCGTATTATCTCTGCAGTCCCGTTATCTCATGATGTAACTTTAATACATCATCTTGCGTGATCTTTCCCTTGGCGATTATTCTTACTTTGCGCTTTACACACTATGTTTCAATCAACGCACGGAGGGTTAAAGCCAGCGCTACTAATTCTATCTAGGAGATGAGAAAGACCTCCTCGAACCGTTTGGTGTTGGCGGGACCTATCTAATCCTTACAAGCTCAGAAGACTTGGTAACGAGTAAATACCCGTTGAGATGCATCTTCTCTCTTATTACGACTATGAGCCCAACCTAAGACTGTCGCACAGACAGGAAGATTTCCCACCTGGGGTTCCATGCCCTATTTAGATTTTCAAGGGACATGTTCCCCTCCCAGTCGGATTTCCTGCACTCCGGTAGTAACAACCCATCTTAGATTCATAAGATCGACATCTTCTCTCGACGCTTGATACTCATATCGGCCGAACTACTCTAGCCCCCTTTAATGAGTAGAGAAGGATCGGTTGCGGGTGAATATGGTGCAGGTCTCTCCATAGGGATCGCCTCGAATACTAGGCTATAATACTAAGCATCTGGTCTGATAGTTCGAGGTGTTTCTTAAGCTAGACATCTGGAGATTTGCCTATCACGTATTGCTAGCCTCAGATACCAGTCACTGCACCGATCTCGACACCTGCCTGACGACGTCCACGTCCACCTCAACTCTTTAATGCTATTTCAATTCGAAGATTAGTTCCTACGCCATTAATGATCAGCAGTATCACAGCCCACTCAGTTGACCTAACTACCGAGCGGCATGGCCTAGAGGTTTAGACCATTGCTTAGCATTCGGGAGGACGCCGGTTCGATTCCGGGTCCGTCTGCCTTGGTCCAAGTTTTTCTGTGGTTTCCTTGGATCACTTAGGCAAATGCTGGGGCAGCAATATTCCACAGATAATCTTTCATTCTCTTCTGTCTTCATTTCGTCTGTCTCATCTTTCTCACCCGATCCACCACCCACCCATTTCCACGATTCCTGAAAACAGGCTGAAGAGGGCCTTCCGCCCTACCTTCCGGCATAGTCTGGAGGGGCTGTCCGTCCACCAGCATTACTGGCTGGTGAAAATGAAACACCCAAAAGTTTTTTTTTGACCTAACTGCTGCACGGCTAACTCGTTTGGCTTAATAGCCCCACAACAAACCCATCGGCCTAATTGTCACAACGCTGACTATTCTTTATCGCTTGCACACACTAATCGATCCTTTGAGTTAATTTTATAATCCAAATTGCCTAGACCAAACCTACGTATTGCATCGAAAACGATCGGTTTATATTTTTATTTATTCTCACCAGCTATTACTGCTGTTGTGCCGGCAGTCTCTCTGGACTATGCTGGAGGATAACATAGAAGGCTTTTTTCAGTCTCCTTTTCGGGAATAGTGGGAATGGGAGGGTGATGGTTGAAATGAGAAAGATGAGACGGACGAAATGAAGACTGAAGAGAAGATTGGGAAGAAGCCAGAATTGTATATAAAATAATCCGATCAATACTGACTGAAGTAATCTTTTAGCAACAAAGATTGTATAGTGCTTCCAAATGTATATTTGTTTATCAAATACGATATAAGCTACGCCCAAAAATTTTAAGTTACATTATTTTCAGAGTAGTGAAGTAAAGTGAAAGTAAATCGTGATTACCTCTTTATGGTTAAGATTATTATATATGCTGCAGTTTATTTGCCTATTGTAATAAAAGGTATGAATATAAGAACAAAGGCTTTCACGGCCGGAATCCATAGTAGAATGCAGATTCGGGCTATAGGGCCGTGGTCTAAGTGAGGTATGAAGACAGCATGAATGAGAATATGTGAGGTATGTCCATGAATAAATGGTTCAAACGTAATCTTTTAAAAATGTAATAATAAACGAGTGATTAACCATACCTTGTTCTAAAGTTATACAATCCGGAAGTTTATAAACTTCGTCAGAAGGCACACTAACGTATTCTGCCCATCCTCCATCTCTAACAATACCCAATGTATTATTTATTCCACCGTTTTTGCAATAATTCACATTACCTTCGCGGCAGTAGTTACAAATATTACAAGATCTAGAAATATTATTTAGAAAAACGTTATGATTAATTCCTTTTTGTCTCTATAGACATTTTTTGGACGCTATATAAAAAGAGAGGGTTTTTACACTACCTGTTCGGATCTACTGCCACCCTATCGCCAATTTGAAGCCATTTTACATTCCTTCCTTTTGCTTCCAGTATCCCCGAAAATTCGTGCCCTAAAATAAAAGGGGATACTCCGTTGCAAGGGAATGCGCCCTAGAACACATCATTTTTGTGTCAGTAGGTATTTATCTAAGTAGAATAGGAGAAAAGCTAGGTCCAAATGTGTGAACGAGAGCAGTTTTTTTGCCTAACACCTGAACCGTTTTTCTTATATCAAGCATGCAGTAACTATTAGCGTAACTACCGATTGATTGGGCAGATAAGTTATCGATGACCCTGTGTCATCAGAGGTTACCTAAAATACAATTTAGCAGGTATTTTTTAGTATAGAAAGCACTTAATGGTATTAATAGTATGGGAAAAAATTGGGTGGTGTAAGGGAGGTGACCCTTACACCACCGACGTTAACATACTCATAACGTAATGTTTCCACAGACATGTTTATTAAAACTAAAAATAATTGCAAAACATTTATCCACATCTAACTCCAACGTAAGCCTCTCGCTGCATTTAGTTCAATTTTATGATCTACAGAAAGATGGTTTAGTTCTTTAATTTCCTCTCTCCACTTTCACATTCTCACTCACTTTTTAATCCATATTTCAAATACGTTGCAAGTGAAAAGATAAAATACTTTATGTTTCAATTCACGAACTCCTTATTTTACCATTACATGCTATCTAAATTCTAAAGTAATAATGGTGAATGGAGTAAGTGTGAACTATGAAATTAAACTCATGTAGTTAAACCAATGGCATAGAAGACTCAAGGGTTGAAAAACAATTCTCCCTTTTCTGGATACCAGAGTCATAGGTAATTGAATATAACCAGTTCACCTTTGACATGCTATACGAGGGTGGATTGATAAGTTTCCGGCCTAACCAAGAGATGACGCCACTAGGCCTACCTTGAGGTGACATTCTATAGTACCATCCTTGGATAGCTTGTAGCTATAGTTTCAGCCCGATCTCCTTGCTAGTGTAGGTTTGACAGCACGCTGAACAAGACGCCTCTGTGGTTTTCGTAAAAATGGAAAAGCAGGAAAATCGTGCTGTCATCAAATACTTTTATTTGAAGGGGTTAACGCCGAAGGAAATTAAAAAAGAGATGGACTCAACACTGGGCACATCCTCCCCGTCATATTCAACCGTTAAGCAGTGGGTTTCCGAGTTTAAAAAGGGTCGTGTGAGCACCTCTGATGGGCCTCGCTCAGGACGCCCCGTTGAGGTCACAACTCCAGATATGATCGAAAAAATTCATCAAATAGTGCTGGGAGACCGCAGATTGAAAGTGCGTGAGATAGCTGAGACCTGTAAGATGTCATATGAACGTGTGCAACATATTTTGCACCAACATTTGCATATGGAAAAGCTCTGTGCAAGATGGGTGCCGCGTTTGCTAACAGTCGACCAAAAATTGATTCGAAAAAACATTTCTACCGCAAATTTGTCATTGTATAAGCGTAATCCAAGCGAATTTTTGCGTCGATTCGTAACCGTTGACGAAACGTGGGTCCACCACTACACTCCTGAAACCAAAGAACAGTCTAAACAGTGGATTGGACCAGGGGAACCAACTCCAAAGAAGGCAAAAACAATTTTTTCGGCGAACAAGGTTATGGCTACTGTTTTTTGGGATGCAAGAGGTATTATATACATTGATTACCTTGCAAAGGGTAATACTATCACTGGTCAATACTACGCAGACTTATTGCAACGTTTGAGCCACGAGGTGAAAATTAAACGACCTCATCTGGCGAAGAAAAAAATCTTGTTTCATCACGATAACGCACCAGCGCACACGTCAATCGTTGCGACGGCTAAAATCAACGATCTAAAGTTTGAATTGATGCCGCACCCTCCTTACTCTCCAGACCTAGCCCCGAGTGACTATTTTCTGTTCCCTAATCTCAAAAAATGGCTTGGCGGTAAGAGATTTGCGGACAATGAAGAAGTAATCGAAGCTGTAAATGGTTATTTTGAGGAGCTTGACGAATCAGTCTATAGAGATGGCATTAATAGACTGGAACACCGCTATGAGAAATGTATCAGCCTTGGAGGAGATTATGTTGAGAAATAAAAAAAAAAAATTTTTAAAAACCTTGTTTTTCTTGGTCAGGCCGGAAACTTATCAATCCACCCTCGTATATACCTATATATCGATATTGATTCTCGAATATAAACAATTGTATGTTTAAAAAAACACTTACTTGCACAATGTGTAAATCTGTACCACATATGCCGGCATAAGCCACTTTGATTAACACCTCGTTATCTGAAAAGGAAGGAATATCTTTTTTTACCAACTCTAATTTCTTTTCATTTAATGAGAACTGTATAGCTTGCATTTTGCAACGATAGTGTTGATATTAAGCTCTGCTTTTATTTTGTGATGTATTTTGTTATTAAGTAACATAAAACAAATTTATCAATCAGCTAACACCACTAATATCTACTTTACTAATAAGAGATAAAGATAATGGTTTTGAAACAAGCTGTTTACAAGCACATTTACTTTTGTGAATAATAAATTATATGTGCATGTTTGTTTACAAACACTGAGAAGCTTTTAGAAAATGAGAAAAACTTTGTATTCTCTTATCGTAAAAGTTCAAGTTATTTAAAAAATATCCTATCTTATCTAGAAGGAATGTAGATCATCGATAGCAGAAACAAGAATGACTATTAAATGTAAATTTAACAATTTCGGTTTTTCAACTGTATAATTGAAGTTTCTTAAAAACGAATCACTCTGAAAGATTTCAAAGGGTGAATTAAAATTGGGTTGGTTTATTACATCGATTGCAACGGTAGAATGCTACTTATGTGAACTAAAGGAAATTGAACGCAACTATGACAAATGTTTATTTATAAATCTAACCTAAATATAATCAAAAGAAGTAATTGTATTATGAATTGTAATTATGTTTGTTTATAAACAAATCTTGAAGATATTCAAAAGGATCACAAAATTATTATCCTGTTATTTTTAAAGACAAGTCTGAAGAGATTGAAGTGTAATACAAATTTGAAGAAATATAACAAGGTGACCCACATCCTTAAATTAGGAAATTAAAGATGGAATAAGTTTTAAAGAAGTTACTTATCAATTGGAATGCAGTTTATAAATAATAATGTGGAAATAACATCCAATTTGCAACGAAGGTGAAATGAATACATAATTTGCAAGCTACTTGTAAAGAGAGGTTGTGTAGGGATTTAAGAAAACATGTAAAGAATTGTAGTTAATTGTGAACATTTTACTATAAGAAGTATCTGAAGAAACATTTGTATATCCATACAGACAAAATATAGAGCAGTAAAAGTTCAGACTCATCACTGAGCAATTGAAACGAAACAGTTTAAAAGCTTTTCTATTTAATATCCAACCAGTTTTAAACAAAAACTTTAAATGAAGAGTAACTTATTCTTAAAGATGTGAGAGATTAAGAAAGTGTTGTGTTTGTGATAAGTGATAATTTTTGTATGTACAGTAGACACTTCTAAAGTAAAAATTTGTACAGATGTAAAAACTTTTTAGTGTTCTGTGTACTAGACATAAAATGTTTTCGGATTATGGTATAGTTGCAAGAGTGTAATATGAGCACTCATGTAGTCGAGAAACTCTTCAAATGCATAAATGAAAACCACAGACGGGAAAAAACATAAATGTATGTTTTGTGATAAAGCTTTCTCACACAAACGCCACTTAGGTCCTCACTTAAAGATACACACAGGGGAAAAACCGTTTAAATGTAATCTGTGTTTGAAAGCCTTTCCCTACCAATATCGTCTTCGAATTCATTCGAAGATTCATACTGGCGAAAAAGACTTAAAATGCAATATTTGTGAAAAGCGGTTTTCCTTGGGATCTGTTTTAAAAGCCCATCTTAAAATCCACACATTGGAAAAACCGCACAAATGCGCCATTTGTAACAAAGTTTTTACACACAAGCACCAGTTGGGTGCTCATTTAAAAATACACACAGGGGAAAAACCTTTTAAGTGTGACGTGTGTTCGAAAGCTTTTCCTTACCAATATCGTCTTCAAATTCATTCCAGAATTCATACAGGGGAAAAGAGCTTAAAATGCAACATTTGTGAAAAGAGCTTTTCCTTTCGAGCGGGGCTAAGAAACCACATTATGTCCCATGCGGGGGAAAACCCGCACAAATGTACCTTTTGCGACAAAGATTTCGCCCTCAAGAACCAGTTGGATATTCATTTAAGAATGCATACGGGGGAAAAACCATTCAAATGCGACATGTGTACGAAAGCTTTTCGATACGAAGGTCGGCTTCGGTACCATATTAAATTTCACACAGGTGAAAGGGACATAAGATGCAACATATGCGAAAAGCGCTTTTACGATAAGACGGTGTTGAAGTCACATCTTCAAACACATACGGGGGAAAAACCACACAAATGTACCTTTTGCGATAATGCCTACTCACACAAGTATACATTGGCTCGTCATTTGAAGTTACACATGGGGGAGGAATTGTATGAATGTGATGTGTGTGAGGAAAGTTTTTTTAATCGTAATCACTTCCGAAGCCATTTACGAACTCATAGAGGGGAGATACAATTTCAGTGTAACTTTTGTCTGAAAGCATTTACGACTAATTCGAATTTAAAAAGGCACTTTAGAACGCACACCGGGGAAAACCCGTATCGCTGTGCTATTTGTGAAAAATCTTTCGGTTCATGGAACATGCTTAACATTCATATGCGAATCCACACGCGCGATAAGGTTTCCCCCGAAAAAATCTTAAAAAGTAATTTGATGGATGACGTTGCTACCCACTCAGCTAATTCTGATAATGGAATAAACATAAAAATTAAGTCTGATGAAAACGAATTTGAAACTCCAGTTTTTGAAAATTCGACTACTACTGAAAATCAAAATTCTTTTGAATGCTTAAACGGTATAAAACAAGAAATTCAGGCTCATGAAGAATTTTATAATTCTGACAATGGAATAAAGTTGGAAATTAACTCAGACGAAAACGAATTTAAATCCAGAGATTTTAAAGATTCAACTAACATTGCTAAAAATGAAAATTCAGTAGAATGGTTAAATTGTATAAAACAAGAGGTCGAAGTTCCTGAAGTACTTCATAATCCTGATGAAATAACATCGGAAATCAAGTCTGAGAAATTGCATGTGGCAGTTTTTGAAGATCAACTGTTACCAAAATAAAAATTCTTTGAAGTGGTTGAACAGTATAAATGACGAGTTTTCTTTGTTATCATAACCATTCAAATTTTGTCAGAAAATATTCTATAAGAAAATTAAAATAAATATATTGTTGCTACCAATGTATTCACTTGAATTCCAAAATACCTATTATATTATATTGTCTGTAGATACTACTTTTAATCGTAGTTTCTTATAAAATAAACCGTGGAAGAGTTATTGGGATCAGTTAAAATTATGTCGATTACAACGTTAGAATGCTACTTACTTGAAGTAAGATAAATTGAGCGCAACCTGACCGATATCATTATTAGTATTAACTTATCTATGGTATTAACTGTCTATGATCATTAAATCTATGATCATTAACCTTAAATAACTGCAATAAGAATAAGAGCATAAAATTATCCTGAGTTTTTGAAAATGAATCAGAAGAGATTAAATTGCAACACTAATAAGTAGTAAATCGTTAGCTCAGTTCAAGTAGTCTATTTGTGATAAATTTTTCATATGCAGTATTCATTTTAAAAGACAATAAAAATCCACACAAGTGTAAGAATTGTTGTGTTGTATGCGCTTGAGATACCTACCTAAGATGTTTTTGAATTTGAGTACCTTGCAAAAACTTAATATGAGCACCCATATAGAAGGAAAATCTACATTAGGTCGCCATTTAAAATTACACCTAGAAAAATCGTTTAAATGTGATGTGTGTGCCAAGTCTTTTTCTACACCAAGCTCACTTCAAGTCCATTCTAAGCTTCATACAGGGGAAAAACAATTCCAATGTAACATTTGCCAAAAAGCATTCTCGACTAGTGGAAGTTTAAGAAGACACTCCATTACGCACACTGGAAAAAAACCGTATCATTGTGCCATATGTGAGAAGCCTTTAGGGACATGGAACATGCTTATGATTCATATGCGAACTCATGAAAGCGATAAACTTTATAATTGCAATGTTTGCTCTGAAAAGTTCTTAAGAAAATGCTATTTGAAGAACCACATGGCTAGCCATTCAATTGGAAAGCCTTATCTGTGTACAATTTGCTACAAAAACTTCAAAACAGAGTTCACCCTTAAAAACCATAGAAAAAATCATAATTCTGTTGATGAAATAAAATTGGAAAGTAATTGTGATGAAACCGAATGTGAATCCAAAGTTTTTGAATATTCAACTACTAGCAATAGTAAAAATTTTTTTGAATTGTTAGAGATAAAAGAAGAGACTGATGTTCATGAAGAACTTCAGAAGTCTAATGGCGGTATAAAGTTGGAAATTAACTCTGATGAAAACAGTTTCAAATCTAGAGATTTTGTGGTTTCTAAAACTACTGGAAATAAGAATTCTTTTGATTTGTTAAAGAGTATAAAAGAAGAGATTAAAGTTCATGATGAACTTTATGAAAACGAATTTGAAACCAAAGGTTTTGAAGATTTGACTAGTACTGCAAATAGAAGTTCTTTTGAATTGTTAAGCAGTATAAAAAAGGAGATTAAAGTCCCCGAGAAGCTTCATTAGTCCAACAATGGCGTAATGAATGCAAATCTGATCATGATGAATCAAACCAAAGTTTTTGAGGGTCTGATTGCCACTGAAAATAAAAACTTGTGTATTTGTTAAACAGTTCAAATGAAAATATCAAAGTGCACCAAACCCTTCATAATTCTAATGATAAAATAATGACTGACCAAGACCTGATATATTTGAATTTAACGGTTTCTGTTGATTCAGTTACCACTGAGAAAAAAATAATAAAAAGTCCCGAAAAATAAATTTTAAGGGGTAGCGGATTATGTAAACTCTTATAAGTTCCATTTTGTGTGTAACACAAAATAATTCGCAATTGCTTTGTAATAAAATCGTATAATTCGCAATTGAATGTTGTTACTAATTTATTTATAACTCAATTACAATCCTTCATATAAATAATGAAAACTAATCCGTATGATGAGCCATTGGTTTTAAAATTAACTGGTCACCCTGTATATTCTTAACTTTTTATTCAATGAAGAAAACTGTTCTTTAAGCTTTTCTGACGTTCCCTTGAAGCGTTCACCGTTAGATGGCGCATGGTCGAAATTCAATTGTCAATTTGCATTTAATTAATATGGCAGTGCAATCTGAATGTAAGTGGTGGTGTACGTTAATTTAGACAATTTTGTATTTTTGTGTGTGAAAATATGTGTTTTGTGTGACAAAAACGGATTATAACACCGTTAATTGAGGTAAGATTTTACTACGTAGTTTGTTTCTTTTATTTTAGATTTTTAAAACATTGAAAAGAAAAACGTTGATATGTAGCACAAAACAAATTCTACTTTTGTGGTTTTTGTTGTGCTTTCTCCTGCTATTTTAAAATATACACATGAACCATTCCAGAGATCTGAGGGAATTGTTGTTTGCCTTGTTTTCAGCATAAAAATTATAACCTCTTTCTCCAAGCATATCTCTGGCTTTTTCGGTTGTTGATTTATGTTATTTTGATGTCCTCCTTTAAATATGTTTACCATGTAGTTCGATACAGAAATTTTCTGTTGGTCAGATAGTTACAATTATTGTAATAACCCATTTGGTGATAACAATAAAATTATCTGACAATGTAGAATTCGAGTGCATCATGTAATTTGTGTTCAGTAAACCAATTAGTCACCCCATTTCCTCTTCATAGGTGTAGGTATATGTATGTAGTAGTGCCGTTAGCTTGCTTACCTATTAATTAATTTATTTATGCTGATTTATTTGTCTGGTATGCTTGCTTCTGTTGTTGTACGTTACTTGAATTACAAATTGTAATTATAAAACAAGAAACCTTGTTTAACTTTGAAATAGACTTTGCTTTTTTATCATAATTACCCCCTAATTTCAATGCATAAAAGTACTTTTAATAGAAGAAGTTGCAAATAGGTATTAGGTATAATGTAAGGATACTTTTTTTCAAAAGTTCTTTAAACTATCAAAAATATATTAGATACAAATATTTAGGTATACCTCCTAAAAAAACATTAATCGATTTACTAGGCTAGTAGGGGATGTCCACGATTCAATGTGTCTAATCCACTTCAGCATAGGTGTCAAGTATATATTTAGGTAGTGGCTTTTTATTTAAATTTTGACCTACGTCGTATCGCGTTTGATTATTATTAGTTTTATAGAAAAATACGTTATCTTAATTACTAAATGGTTTGTAATTTAGAGGAGACAAAATAGTTAACTAATAAAATACATATTTATTTAGTGATAAGAATATCATCATCACTTGCCGACACGTTTTAACATTAGGCATTCTCTTCTAATAATGTGATTGAAATAGATTTAGACGCATATATAACACTTAATTGAAATTAATTGTATAATTGAAAAATCTATCGAATTGATATGAGGTCTATAATACTGAGGAATTTGCATTTTATTTATTGATCCTTTAAAAACTCATTTGTGTAGAAAAGATTGAGGTACCTATATCTTCTTTTAACAAAGGACGGGGTACACTTTCTACAGAAAATTGGGTTCATCATATGGCTATAAGTAAAATTCTAAAATAATTGAAAAAAGGAAGTATGCAGGTAGTGGATTAAAAGAGGTTTCTTTTCTTTAAAATCATCATTATCATCATCATAAGGTCGTCAGTCCTAAGACTGGTTGGACATGCACCTCCACTCTTTCCTATCCTGAGCTCACCTTCGCATTACCCTAAAACTAGAACATCCTGCATCTTCAATTATCTTCGAACAGTAATCTAATGTAGGTCTACCTCTAAGTACTCCTCTTAATCCTGTTTCTGCATCTAATATGTCTCTGACTAGACCTTCATGCCTGCGAAGGTGTCTTAACAACCTATCTCGCCTATTTTTTATTGACTTCCATACAGTCCTCTGTTGTCATATTCTTTTTAATACCATTTCATTTCGAACCCTCTCTATCCACGGTATCCTCACCATTCGCCTGTAACTCGCACCCACCGTCCATGTTTTGCATCCGTACAGCGTCGCGCTCCAAACATTCAGCTTTAACAATCTTCAAATTTCTAAATTAACCGTTCGCGATGATCGAAACTTCATTTTATTGAAAGTCTTTAAAATCAGTAAACAAAAATTATTTATTGCATGTTCTCAAAATTGCATCCTCAGTAGAGACTGAGCTGGAGTTTTAGAAAATGTCGTAGAGTATGATGATACGCATTTGAATATTTTAGTACTCTTCTAACATTTTCATAGCCTTCAGAACAGTTGAAATCATTTTTAGTTGGAAGCTTTACTCTAGGAACATAAATTATTTCTATGATTCGTCAAATCAGACTTTTCTCAAGTTAGGAGCACCTACAGAAGCATCCAATTTGTGAGGAAGTAGCAGGTTAAAAGATTCTATGAAAATTCTGAATCTCCTGTTTTTCTGTTCCAACAAGGTCCATTTAAATATATGGATATCCACTTGCTGAAACGAATCCCGGCGTAAACTACGCCATTTGTGGTATTTTCTAAAACGCGCTGTTAAGACAGACCACTTCCAATTATTTTATTTACTTAGATCAAGTCCATTATGATGTTTCAGACGCTATTTTTCATTCTTTCGACTAATTTTGTTTTTTATTATTCTTACTGATGATGCTTTGTTTTAAGAACATGATTTTGTAGATGATTATATTAGAGCGAATATTGCACAGACCAATGCCATCAGCGAGTTATAAAAAACAAATTGTTTAATAAGAGTTTAACATAGTGGCATTCTGCGGCCGAGTCCCACGGATATTGTTTCCACCGCGTTCTATTTTGGGCACACAGTGAAATTAATATTCATTTAATCGTAAGAAAAAGACGCTTCGCACCAAACGTCACACTGTCGTCGTTTCCCGAGTCATCGCGTAAGTACCCAAATGAATTATAATAGGAAGCGTGACTTGTTTAAAAGCATCTACAGGGCGAATACCTTTTATCGATTGCGTATCATTATATTTAAAATAATTCCAATAGACAAGTGGTATATACTGTCCAAGTAATTGAGAGGGAGACGGGCTAAAAGGGCTATAGCTAAAATCCCTCTTTCTAGAATACATTAAGTAGATAAAGATCGTGCGCTGAAGGTCCCGTACCTGGTCGAGTTGATCATCATTATCATGATAATGTTGTGCTAATATGTTAATGAGCCAGCGTAGACTGCAGTTTAATGTAATCGAGTGTAGCTGTCTCCATATGACTTTATGAAATTAGTTAACCATTAAAAGATGAAACGGCGCTTTAGGTCCACGATCAATATCCAGGATCCAAGAATTTTTAATTAAAAATGGCGAATTTGGTCGTGCTGAGCTTGTTTAAACGCCAATATCAGGGCCGCATATGGCGTGTTCCATAAGGGTGACGTAAATAATATAACGTAAATGAGTGCTGAGGAGTTTATGAATGCTTGATGTGGAACTAAAAGCGTTTTCATGTCCAAATTCTTCCGATTTGGATGTGATCAGGAATCCTTACACGAAACTGATCTACTTGGTCTGGTTGAAAAGGCCAAAAGGTACTTCCCTGGACAGAAATTTGTATTACCTACTTTTGTTTATTGAATAATAGAAACGCGTTAGAATCGGGAATTCCGGCTATTCATCCTGTACATAGATTTAAGGACGCGTTCATTGTAAAATGATCGCCGTGTTCATCGCGTAGTACGGGTCGTGGACTGCTTTCTAGTGCGCTGTGGCGACGGCTGTCCGTAAAATGCTTTACGATAATGTTGTATTTACTGGAGTTGTTGAGGAACAAAAAAAAAAAAGAAAAAGAACACGGTCAGAAGCAAAAGGGAGCGAAGCGAAGTTTATGTGGGTTACTTGTATGCGAAACGGTAGCCAAAATTACTTTTACATCGACGCGACGCCTTTACTTGTTGACAACAGTGTTGCTTTACGTTACTTCACGTAAACTGATTCTATTTCTGTCACTTCGAGTGTTATTTACGATTAAAATTGCAGCCCGCAAAATGTTCGAAATGTTCTATAGGTGGTCATTCTATTTTGTAGAATTTTACAATTTTTAAATTACATTAAATTTTTGATAGTTAGGTAGTCATAGTCATGCTCTTTTTACAATGCTTGTAATTTTTTAAATATTTTTTTAATTTCATTAAACTGTTCATTTTTCTAAAAAGAATTTTATCATGAAATTGAGTATAGTAAAAATTCATAAATTCCATAAATATGCCGCGAATACAGAAACCGTGGATATAGAATGGTAATTAGTATGGAGTCATAGGGGATATGTTCCAAGGTTCCAAAATAAAACCAGTGTACCAAAATAAAAATCAATGTATTATTAATTCGCAATTACAATCAGCTTTAGGCAAAAGTCTAAAAAATTTTAATGATTTTTTCTGCTTACTCGATTACATCTTCTATAAAAGCTGCTTCGGCACGTACCAACCGTACATACTCAAAAGGTGCCGATACATTAAGGGGATTCAGTAGTACACGCGCTGTAGAGTAAAAACCTGCTTATCGGTTCTAGATATCATGAGTTTATTGTTTGGATCAGAGGTTTGAAATTTTGTAGTAAGACAGATAAAGCTTCGTTCTAAATCTTGTCGAAGGCCACTTTTAAATTTTTTAGTTCCTATTAAAAATACGTGTCCTACAAGAAGCATCAACTTTAAGCACTTGTAAAAGCTTTTAATGACTATATTATTGAAAACCAAAAACGTAGCGAGTTAGTGTGATCCTTTTTCTGCTACCATACAAAAAATCACATATTTATCTCGCCCTGTTAAATCACTGTGTTTAGAATAGAAACCATGTTTTCGGAAAAATTCACACTAGGCACGAGCGGTCTATTGCGGTCAATCCTCTTAATAAATGACACCGAATCCTTTTCTGTTTACCGATTGCATCCGCGAATTATGAAGTTTTTAGCCGCGAATGCATGAACTGGGTTGCAATTTTTTCACCCGTGAATAATGAAAAAGCGAATGAGGAACTTTTACTGTATTGTAAAAACGGCCAGAATATTTAATTTTCAATGACTACACGACGTGTGAATAGCGTTTATCGTATTTTACTCGCTAATCCCTTTTATTAGAAACCGGTGTAAATAGGGTTGCTAGGGATAATTAACCCACAATCTTGGGCTGTCAATAACAATTTTTTAATTTAAGTCTTCCAGGAGCACCACTAGCGCCGCTCAAAGATTAATCATTGATAAAGTCATCACCATCTTAGGTAATGCTCATTTAGTAACTTTTTAATAAGACGAATTTATTTTATTATATCCATTTGAGAGTATATCATAATCATGCTCTTCTCGTTAGAAGCGTTATCTTGTAACTAATCGGATGCCAATGCCTCCAGTCTAAAAGTTCGTCGTTTGTTGGTCGCGGAGACGCATACCTCTTTGGCATGCTCGCGTGCTTAAAATGCCTGTACAACAGCCAACTATTTTGACAGTGAATGTTTGAGAAACGGTCCTGCTTTAAATTCTGCCAAAATTTGTAAATTCATAAAGTACCGTCATCACGTATGTTACATAAAAAAGGACGTACTACACTATGAACTAATGAATTCGATTAAATTTTTGTGATCGAAAAATCTAAAAAAAAAAAAAAAGAAGACCTGTATGAAATGCCAGAATTTTGCAATTTTACTAAATTTGTGTTACTTATTTTTGGAGCTGTAGTATTCTCTCATTTGTATTGCATGTGGCTTATCTATATAGACGTCATGCATTTCCTTCGAATGCTTATTAGAAGATTCTTTTGAAATTTTTAGCACTTCCATCGGACGTAGTTGATACTGCAATTTGTTACTACTAAAATTAGAACAGTTTGTTTAATAACGTTTTAAAATACTTTTCAGGTTTATTAAAATATTTCTTGATTGTTTTCCACAACACACACTAATTGTCGTTATCAAAAATTGATGCTGAATAGTTCCATAAATCCGTAGTTGAAGAGAAAACTCCCAGAGAGAACAACATGACAATGTCGACTACTTGTTATTATTAGTTATACTAATATATTGGATTTTGCGGTCTTCGAATGGGTGGGTAACCCCACTTGGCATTCATATAATCCCTGCCAGCTTCAAAAAATGCTTCCCAAACTGAAGAATCTTAGGAGATTCGAGTGAACGGTGAAGTTAGTCGCATCCAATAGTGCTGGGTAGTGGTAAAATGATAAGGAGCGATTTTTCCGTGTCTAATTGAAAACTGAGTTTGAGCTGTGATAACTCAGTTCTCCGTTTCTTGTCAGGATCTCTACGTCTTGCTCCTTTGCGGACTAAGAATTGACTCATTCCAGCCTCCACAGTTTGTGGATGTAATGAAAGTCCTCCAGCCTCATTGCGCCTCCCGTTTTACACATCTTGCAATATTTTGCTTGGTCAAATAGTCTTTCCCTGTTGTCAGTGTAGAAGACATTGCTGTAGTTACTTAAACTGTTGAAAGTTTAGGGTTGTACGACAGCAGTTCATCTCTAATATTTGTAACTAGTGTAAATGCTAGTTTTGGAGGTTGCTACATTTTTCATTAGCAGTAAAAAAAACCGCTTTGTCTAAATTTTTAAAACAAATCCCGTATCACAAGGAATTTTACAGAGCGAAAGTATCCATGGAATCTGGTCTTCGGGATAGTTGACTACCCTAATTTCATTATGAGTGAAACTAGTTTTGAGTGACTTTGTTTAAAGGTACGTACCTAAAGGAAAGAGGTGCCTACTTTTGAAACGACTTCTATATTTCCTTATGCAAAAACAAATCTGTAACATTCTCACAAGAGCGCAATTTCCGCATTTGATGGATTCAAAAAAGTATGACTTTCTTTTTTCTAGAAAACAAGAGTGGGCACACGCCCTTGTTACATTATGCAGCGACCGTCACTGCACTTGTGTTGCATCAAACTTGAACCAAAAAAAAAAAAGAAAAGGCCACGTCCTTTTCCCAATCCTAAATTATTTATATACATCCGTTCGACAGGCGTATGTATATATTTATGTATTTCTACAACATCCTGTAGTTACGTGTAAGAACGCGTGCGCTTCGCGGCGTCGTCGTCGTCGTCGTTCTATAGACCGTCGCTCGCGTAAGAGCGTCGTAGCCACCCCGGACCCACGCGTGAAACGCTCTGCTCGTTCTCTCTCGTCGTTGCGTGGTGTCGTTATCATCGAGAGTGCTCTGCGCGCAATCTGAACAAACCGCGATCGTTTAGGCGGCAGTCGCAGGTAGCTCTGGCGGCTGATGTCGTGGTGCGATGATACTGTTTTAATTCTAACTGCACGCGACCACAGGTGTTCTTGCTTGTTTGTTATCGTACGTAAACGGCCTACGCGATTGATTTTTCGCGGCAAACGGTGGTGACTGTTTAGTGTGCGGTGTCTGAGACAAAATGAGATGATGAAGAGTGTCGTTGCTATGCGGAAACGAAGGCTGCAGGCAATATTGTGACGGTTGTGATGAGGTGACTAGGGAGGGACTGTGGTTGTCGGAAGTGCAACGTGGCAGTGGAGAGGGTAGGAGAGTGCGGTCTATTAGTGGACTAATGAGCGGTAGTTCTCGTTTAGGAAAGTGGAAGTAGCTATACGGGGACGATTACGTGTTACGAGACAGAAGAACAGGGAAAGGGCGGGATTGTTGTAGTGTGCCAGACAGTAGGCCCTTGACAACAATAGAATAATAAATAGCATTTGTTTAATAACGTGTATTTCTGATCACGTCATTTAATTTTTTTAACTTTCTCGATTTCTTCTTTACTTTAATGAATAGCATGTCTTATTCAATCAAACTTAAAACCGACACTTAAGTGTTATCCAATTAGGATGTAAAAATGACAATATAAGGTTTTATTCGTCATAGCCCCCCCTTCACTTGAGGTTACAATATACAATTCGTGATGTATGTAGTCACTTTTACAAGACAATACTGTTTTGTAGGGCGTCTAACTGAATTTGGAGTGCCTGATTGTACGGATCGGCTACAGGGTTTCCGTAATAGAGAACGTTCCATTCGCAAACAAAAAGTTCGAGTAAATCTCCGAATTATCCGAAATATAAACCGGCGGTTTATCTTTAGCCGAGCGTGTTTATGGGGGTCACTGTTTTTTATATATGCAAGGAAAAGTAGGGAAAGAGCGAATATAAAGATATGAGACGAAAAATTAGAAGAAGTGGCCGATTTTAGGTATCTAGGAAGTGAGATAAGTCAGGAAGGAAGGAGTAGTAGGGATATAAAGCAGAGGATAGTGCAGGATCGAGTCGCCTTCAATAAAAAGAAGTCACTTCTATGCTCGTGAACGGTTAATTTAGAAATTCGAGAAAGGTTGTTAAATGTGTATGTTTGGAGCACGGCACTGTACATGGACAGTAGGCGCGGCGAATGATGAGGATACCGTGGATGAGAAGGTTGGACATCAAGAGGTATTAGAAAAAGTAAGAGAACAGAGGACTCTATGGAATTCAATAACAAATAGGCGAGTTAGGTTGGTAGGACACCTCAGGCATGAAGGTCTGGTCAGGAACATATTAGAGGCAGAAACGGAAGTTAGGAGGGGTATTCGCAAATAGTTAAGGATATGGGTTGTTCTAGCTTTAGGGAAATACGAACTTAAGTCGTGCTGAGTAAGCCTAATAAGATAGAGCGACGTAGTAATATGCGTTAAGGCGTTGTTACAACAGAAAGTTGAGGCAATTAGACGTTTAGATAGAGATGAATTGCTTGAAAAGGTAGCAAGTTACTTGGATGTGGGGGGAGTACCTTTTGAAATAAACCGCTAAAGATTTCAAAAGTGGTCTGATGGTGTTCTGACATCGCCAGAATCGCCACAAAAAAACTATGAAAAAGGGGAGATATAAGTATATCCGTTTTATCCGAATATCTAAATTCACTTGTGTCCACAATGTTTCGGATAATCGGGTCTACCATATTAATAAAAGCTAAAACTACATTAATTAAATCAAATGCGTGATAATACGTCTTGTAAGAAATCGATTCGACATTAGATTTAGTTTGCTTGTTGATTAATCGAAAGTTTTTTAATATCTCCGAAATTCTTCTGTCTCGTTTGCAACATTGTTGTTTCGTGTTTTCCACCAGATGAAGTTTCACCTTACGTTAGCTGCGTTACGTACGCTTCTCGTTGTATGATCTGTGTTGGATTTCTAAAAAGTATCGCAGAACGCTACCCGCCGCTCCCGTAATGGCAGTGACATACAAATCCGAATACGTTGTTTGTGTAATAATTTTTATTGCTACAATCGAGATGGTGAATATAAATAAAAGTGTTTCAATCATGTTTAAAGTCACGCCGTCGTCAAATAACAGTAATGATGATGATGATGATGCAGCGGGAAAAGTTTCAAGTGATATCTGCGTATCAAGCACGTGATACGAAGATTGGAGAGAGAGAGCGCGAGAAAGTCGGATACATGTGTCTTCCACAAATGCGAAGGGTGCTGAGTGGATTTGCCGAAACGTTGGCATGCTCTGTAAGTAGCAGTAATCGTGAGCTTAGTCTCTTCCTCTCTTCCTTTAGAAACAAAATATTTTTTTTATACCTGGAAATTGTATCAGTATCCTCCCGTACGGTTTCCTGATTTCTTTCCAAATGCTAAGCCAAGGATCTAGCTAGAGCGTCGACCGCTAATCAATGCCACTCAGTACATCAATTTCCTTATTAAACAATATTTGGCTTTTCCTTACGTTCTTTTATCATTTTTGCTTGATATTGTAATGTTCGTGGGTTTAACAAATGAACTTTTAAGACTCACAACGACAAAAACTATTTATTTACACTAATTATTACTAAAGGACTTAAAAGCACTATTAAATTATTACTAACTTAGGTAATTATTCTATTTATTTACACTACTGTTACTATTCACTGTTCTATTTATTTCTTGATTCACTACTGCAACGGTCAATTTATTTCTCCTCCACTTCGGCGATCGTCTCTTCCTTTTTATACTCCCTTGCCACCTTTCGGGAACATTCTCCAGCCGTCCAGAGAAGTCTCGTTTTCTTTGAACGGTTTAATTGTTTTCCCGGAACGCAGGTATGACACACACGTTTACAGATACAGCGCACGTGAAGAAAAGTGCCCGCGCGGCTAGTCGGCGAATCGATAAGCCGCTTACACACACGTATGCTCGATCGCACACAATCACGCTCGTGGTCGCTACAATATTTACGATTTTATTCAAGTATGTTATAATTTAAGTAGGTTTTTGGAATTTCTTGGTGGTACTGAACTGAGGATTTATCTAAACCCGGAAAACATCATGTGACAGTGTTGTATTTTTCACATTCCGCACTTTTGCTCATGTGTTACTTTATTTCAGTCAAAGATTCATTAAGATTTCCTTAAAGTGCTTAAATCTCATCTCATCTCGAATATACACTTGCAGACATAACACGTATAGTTGAAATTAATCATCATCCATGTGTTTAAATTTCTAGAGACCTTAAACTTATTTTTAGAGAAACTGTCTGTAATATTTTTTGAATTATACAAACACAGTTGAAAGTTATTTGGCAAAAATTTTTGTTCAGAAATTCTTGATTTGTAAACATTACGATATTATTTCTCGTGTTGCTGCCATTCATAATTTTTTTAAATAGGTTTCTTCTGTCATGTAGTGGTCATGAACGCATCGACATGCATTACATGTATTTGAAAAAACATATTATGTTGTAACATAGTTACAATTCCTCGTTGAATAAAGTGTACTTGTTTAGGTTAATTTAAGAAGACGAAGCCAACAATAACATAACGATAAACAAATTCATTACCATGTCTGACCTAAGTGGAACCATGAATCGCCTTTAGGCTGCTATGAATATTGATCGTTATTTATTGGTTTTAATCTAAAGGAACTCAGTTATTCATGATTAAGAATGTAATATCCACCTTTTTGTTTATTTGAAAAGCGAACAGAAACTCGCTGTCATTTCATTTCTTCTATTCGCTTTCACCATTTGTGATATTCTTTTTCCTCTTTCATTCCCAACCCATGCATTCAAACTCCCTCTTATCATTCTACAAGTGTCTGTGGTCAAATTCTACCCCATTTCTTAATTTATTGTAGATCAATGTATGAGTACGTAGCCATATTGATGCGAAAGACAACTAACGTAGATTGTGTTTCTGACAAGAATCGATGTAAGATTTCAACATCAGGAGATGATGGTTCGATACTTTCAGCATCTGAGGGTTGGCCAGGAGTAGTGTTGATGTAGTGCCTTGTTGAATGATTGGGAAAAGTGCCCTGACTGCTGCACTGGGTCGAATTAATGATGGAAACTGCTGTAGTTAATCGTAGTATACTAAAGTGTCTGGTTTCGTATCTGTGAGGAAAGTGGCGGAGGGTTGTCTCAGTTAGCCACCTGACCACATGTGGCGAGGTGGGTGAATCAATCCAGGAATCTGTGCTTGCTTAAATCTACCATCAATTGGTAGTGCGTTAGGAAGTCAGCACTAATGATGGTTTTGTGACGTCAGGTATAAATGACTTGGGATCTACACACATTTCAGGACCGATGTCGGCTAAGATGTTTTGGCGTGCGATTCTGTCCGTGACAGATAGGCGACGTTGCTTTGTGTGTAACTCACTTGTGGCCATTAGTAACTTTCTAGCTGATTTCCGTTATTGTGGGTTGTACTTGTGTGCTTTGCCTTTGACCATTTGCCCTACTATTCTTATTGGAATGCCGTTGGGTAGAAAACTGCGTGAATTTGAATGGGATTGGGTCTTCACTTTTCCGGCCATGTGTCGTCTTATGTTCAAATTTATCCGGAGGTTGGTTGGTTAAGATTTGGATGGTCTCCGAAGTGGAACTGGTCGAGGGACTAACTACTACTGTGGTTTGCGTTGAGATTACATTCATGATGCAATCGGGTACCTCTGCTACTTCCTATGATGGTTTGAGACGATTTGACCAAATAGTTCGCAGTAAATTATACGGCATAGTGGTCTCGGCCGGTCCGTGGAGGTGGTGCGCTTCTTCGGAGTTCCCCAGCCGACGAATAAGTGCTGCCTTGGTGGTAGCGTACGGTTCAGTCCGCGGGGGGATGATGACAATGATGTTACGCAATTCCGCCGTGTAGTGAAGATTCAGGGTGCCTAGCACATACGCAAACTCCCTGGATTCGAACGTAATTCCGTAGGCCTCAAAACAGTCGACCCTACAGAAAATTTGGAATCGGTGGGCACGAAGTGGGGTAAATTGACGTCTGGTCGGTCGACAGAAATGGAGGAGCGGCGGCGGCTTGTGACTTGGCTTGGCATCAACGTTGAGACTGGCTTGGGCGATGTTTTTTGTTTATATTCTCAGTGCCGAATTGTAGGATTGCGCTGACTAACGTACTCGTGATGAGGACCGGCTGGTGGCGAATGTTAGAAGAGCGAAGCGAAGCAGAAGCCTCCTCTCCTAGTTGTTGTACATGTTGCCGTAGTTTCTGGACAAAGTCGGAGGTTGTAGTAGCTTCCTGCTCCGCCTTTCCTAGAAATTCGTCTGGAAGTCGTAGAGGTTCATCGTACACCATCTCTGCTGCAGTGGGATTGCAGGTCGTCCTTCCATGCCGAACGTATCCCTAGCATCACCGTTGGCAGGGTTTCGATCCATTTCGCGGAACGGTGGCACTTGATTGCGGCCTTCAGCTGCCGGTGAAACCTTCCGATCATGCCGTTTGCTTCTGGATGTTGTGCGATTGTTCTTAGATGAGTCGTACCTGTCAAAGCGTTCAATTCCCTGAACAGGTGCGACTCGAATTGTCTGCCTTGCTATCAGCCGATGTTGTAACGCGCAACGGAGTCCCAAAGCGTGCTATCCATTGGTAGTAGAAATTGCGCGCAACCGTGACGGCCTCCTGGTCCTCCATTCGGAAAGACTCTGACCAGCGAAAAAATTAGTCCACGCACGTCGTTACTACTATATCGACGTAAACGTGCTCGAATCGGCTAGAAGGTGGCGCGATAGTTCCTGGAATGATCGAAACGTGGACTTTGTCGAACACAATTCGGCGAAACGTGAGCGGAACGAATGGTCCCGCTGTGGAGGTTGAAACGTCGCAGACCAGTGAGGTGTTCGTACCTGCCATCTTAATGAGCTTGAACTGTAGGTTAGAGTTCCTGTTTTTCTCCAACGCTGCTAGCTTTTTGTCCGCACGTTGTGCAGCGGTTAATTCTTCTAGGTTACTTACGAGCGTCACCTCCTCAATTCGCGATAGGACGTCGGCTACGACATTGTCCTTTCCCAGAAGGTGACGGATGTCTTTCGAGAATTAGCCGACAAAGTTCAGGTACCGGAACTGACGCGGTCTGCAGACCTCATCCTTCTTCTCAGACGCGTAGGTAATGGGTTTGTGGTCAGTGTATATAGTAAAGATCCTAGCCTCTATCATATGGCGAAAGTTTTTCACCGCGAAGTAAATGGCGAACAGTTCTTTGTCGTAGGCGACGTATTTCTTTTCCGACGATTTCAGCTTCCGGGAAAAAAAGAGTAATGGTTGCAATGATCGGTTCTTTCCAGAAGTGGTGCTGTCCCTTTGTTGGTGGCGAGGTTTCCCAAGAAGTTTACCTCGGTTTGTCCGAACTTGCACTTTGCCGGCTTTATGACCACGATAGAGGGTTTCTAAATGGGCAATGTGTTCTTCGGGTGTTGTTGAAGCCACCAATATGTCATCGATATACGCGTAGCAGAAATCCAGACCACGCAGTACTTCGTCAATGAAGCGCTGGAATGTCTGCGCCGCGTTTCGTAAACCGAACGACATAAAGAGGAACTCGAACAGCCCAAACCACGTTGCTATGGCTGTTTTACAGCAACCGGGATCTAATGATTGGCTTTGACCAGATCAATCGTTGAAAATACGGTTTTTCCAGCCAGCGTTTGGGATGCCGGACTTGATACGATCTAAAACGGTCCGTGTGTGAAGCCCCCGGTAGTCCCCGCCATTGACGCCACTTGTCGCCTTCCTTAGGGACCATATGTAGCGATGACGACCAGCAGCTATGGGATGGCCTAAATTCAGCATGACGTCGAATTCCCTCTTCACAGCCTGCAGGTGGTTTGAAGTCAAACTTCGGGGTTTGTGCGCCACAGGAAGTCCGCCCTGGCGCACGATGTCAGGGAAGTTGGCAAGTAGGTCAAGATAGGGCGATGTCCCAGTTATGACCTTGAACGTTGGTACATCATGGTCGGAAAGTTGGCCATGCCCGGAGATCTTGGACATATCATCGATGAATCTACGGTTCCTTGCGTTCATGAATAGGTGGAAATGTGCGAGGAAGTCGATCCGCAGGGTAGGCCTTTTAAATGACACTATCCACAAGTATAATAGCCACAGCAGTACAAAAATGTTCTAAATATATACACAGTTCTATTTTTTGATTTGCCACAAACTCCCCATCATGTCAATATCCCATTACTTTATTATCGAGTTCCCCTCTAAGCAGTGTTTGACTTGACAGATTGTCGGCGTGTTCTC